TCCTCACACATTAAATATCGATTTAAATATAGATTTACCTTAAAAATAGATTTAATATGATCGGGAACAGAATTAAAAATATCTTCTAGTTATTCAATTAGGAATGGACATTGCTGGGCTGCCATCATGGGGCTAGATATCTACTATAACTAATATGTGAATATGCAAATGAGCTAAAAACGCTGATATTGCTGCTGATCGCCATTGTTTTGCGAGCAGTATCTCCTCTCACGCCGCTGGTCCTATTTGGCTCAATTTTTACGGGTTGGTCCACTAGGGGTTCTAATATTACATGGCGAGCTTCGTTTTTCGATTTCTGCCTTGGTTTTTTCGATATATAACATTTTTCTTCGTTATCGCGTTGCCATTGTACATCGCTTCTCATTCGTATAGATTTTATGGAAGAACCCTTTGTCAACGTTTTACAACAGCTTTCCGCAATCCGCAATATAATATTTTTTCTTATCGCGTTGCCATTGTCCATCGCTGCTCATTTATGGAAATTCTATGGGAGAACCTTTGTCAACGTTTTTCAACAGGCTTTCGCAATTAGTTCAGAAGTTTTATAGGGCTCATTCATATCTTTTCAGAAAGTTTTCAAAACATTTTTCTCTCTCTCTCTTCAGCAGCGATATCTATGCTCCGACGCCAGTTGAAAAGTACGGAGGGGTGGCAAGGGTAATCAAATAAAGACTCATAAGAAAAATTCTGCACGAAAACTCTTTTCTTTTGCGAAAAGCTTGGCCGCATTTTCGAGCATACCCACATGTAACCAATATTAAACGAGCCCCACAAGGGCTAAAAGAAATGTAGTGATAAAAAACTTAATCATTGAAATCAGAAAAAACAGTAGAGCTTGAGGGGGTAACCCGTGAAAATACATAAACGAGAACAGCGAATAGACCGGGGCTCGCAAAATGTATTTAAGCAAGTTTCAAACTTGCCTCGATATTGCAACCGTAATACATTAAATCTGTATGCACATTTCAGTGAACGGGAGACTAGCTCCCCTAAGAGCCCCGCTACGCGCGCACGCGATAGCCGCGGCAAGATTTACAAATACCGTAAATCCGCGAAATAACCCTACTCGAGTAAGCCCCCACCCTAGAACTAAAAATTTCAATAAGCCCCCACTGCTACCGTTAATTCTAGAATTGGACCGACCCCCTTATTTTGATGAATTTTTGCCATCTGAGGTTTCCTTTGGCATTTTCTTGAATTGCCACAAAAACTCATACTTTTGGTAATAATTAATTAAAAGCTCATAAAGAAATTCCTACTAAAATAAACGAGATCTTTTAATAATTTCTTTTTAATGTCTACAATAATTTTATAAGCCCCTCCCCTCGTATAAGCCCCTTCCCTCGAATAAGCCCCCATCCAAAAATATCAAAAATAAATAAGCCCCCAGGGGGCTAATTCGAGGGGGGCTTATGCAAGGGGGGCTTACTTAGGTGGTAAACCATTAAAATATTTAAACGAAGAACACGAATAGACCTTGCAAATGTTTTGAAGCAACTTTCAATTAACGGAAGACTAGCTCCCCTACGAAGCCCGCTACGCGGGCTTGCCAGTGGCCCTACGGCAGGGTACATAGATTAGCCTCGGAAAAGACAAGAGGTGTATTAACCTCGATTTGAAAACAATTGGCTCCGCACAGGTCACGTGATCAAAAAAATTGCTTGCACTCTTGTGCGCATTAAATTCGCACTCCTGTGACTATCGCTAGGAAGGGGGGAGCCTCTACCCCCGTTCTATTTAAGGCTCCCCCCTTCCTAGCGATAGTCACAGGAGTGCGAATTTAATGCGCACAAGAGTGCAAGCAATTTTTTTGATCACGTGACCTGTGCGGAGCCAATTGTTTTCAAATCGAGGTTAATACACCTCTTGTCTTTTCCGAGGCTAATCTATGTACCCTGCCGTAGGGCCACTGGCAAGCCCGCGTAGCGGGCTTCGTAGGGGAGCTAGTCATTTCTATGTTGTGTAACTTTTTCCTTTGATGTGGCCTAAGCTGGCAACTGTAATGGTTTGGCTGCATGTCAAAGCTGCCTTTTCCGCGTTAACGTCGTCTTTTGGTGCAAGAAGTTCAACTGCCATTGCAAAGACCATGTCTTCAACAAACTCTTCACAATGTGAACTTCGAAAGGCTACTTTTGCTATGTCCTGATTTTGGTTCCCGGAGGCCCAGTTTGGTTGCATGGATGGAGTTGTGCGAACTAAAGTGGGCTACTCCGGGGGCTCGAAAGCTTTTCCAACTTACTACAACCTGTGAGTATTTCTAACTTTTTGCCAATGTTATTCTTTTTATCTGATACGTTATCCCCATTCCCAACAGCGGACATCGTAGTTAGATATTTTTTGTAGAAACTTCTATCAAGTCAACAGAAGCCATTCTACTACATGGACAAACAAAGTTTTCGTTCCATTTTTTACAGAGAATCTAGTGCCTGAAAATAATTGGCAAAACAAACGAAGGAATTTAGCATACTTTATGTTTTAGCCTTATAATTCTTGAAACGACAAGTGTCAGGTATGAAGAATATGGTAATATTATCAAGTGTTTACTTACAAGTAATAACTGGATACATGGCTCGATAGCTTGCCCAAAGTTCTTTCCATGTGTCCATCAGCCTAAAATTGTTTAATTCTCATTGATCTCTATAAAATATTGCGATTGACCATTCATTGTTATTTAGCCATATTAACTTGGATATTTAATATTTAGTATAATTATGTTAACCGGTATATTGTAATTAATCAATTTTATGTTGAAAAAAATATTTTGAGTTTGAGTTTAATAACTTTGAACATTTTTATTGCAGTTAATAGCCGTGTTTATATCTTGTTAAGACAATTTTAGACACTTGAAGTTGCAAGTCTAAAAAATAAACCTGAAGGAAATGTTTTAAAGAGTAAAATTATGCTTATCTTTTGACTTCCTTGTAGCTCTCAACTTTTTAGAAGTCACCTTTTCAGGGTCAGCAGTGTTCAGGGCACAAAATGTTGTGAAAGAGAATGACAAATGTAGAAGTTTACCAATTTTAGATATTAACCTAAGGCAGATTTATAAGAGTTTATGTGGGTCTGACAGGCGAATCCCGGGTAACTTAGGAGCCATGTTCTATATCCATATGTCAGTATGCAAGGTATTTAAAGAGACTAAAGTTAGTTATTGTGAACAACCATTTATATCAACTGTGTTGAAGTCTAACTAAAAATTATTGACTCAATAGGGCTGATCATGCTGAGTCAATCGAGATTGAATTTGACCCAAATGCAGTGGATTACAATACTTTGCTGAATGTATTTTGGGAAGGTCACAATCCTACTGCCCTGGTCAAAAGGCAATATATGTCTGCAATATTTTACCATAATGAAGATCAGAAGCAAACTGCAGAAAAATCATTAGAAAAAATTAAGCAAAAATTGAAGCCAGCAATAGTGAGGACTGAAATCATGGCTGCTGGAAAGTTTTATGATGCGGAAGAGTAAGTTTTTGTCTTTTACCTTTTCTTGATTTTTAAGGATTTTTCAAAAGACAAAACCCTTCTAATATGATCAAATTGTTCCTTTTCAACCCTAAGTGACTTTCTCTATCATCAAGATAAAATAATAGAACTAAGATAGTCTTACCTACCTTTTTGCATCCCGATTCTCGATGAAACCGGCTCTGTAGTCTGAAACAAGACCACCTTTGACAAGAGCAAGTTGGATGTTGCTCATACATTTTAATCATGTTTTAGTAGGGTTTCTAGTCACCTTTTCTTTGCCAACTTTTGAATTTTGTTTGCCCTTTACAGAGGCAAAGTGAAAATTTGATCTATTTTAGAACTATTGTTCAGACAATGGGCTCTATCAACTCTCATAGCTGAGAACAATTAAACTTAAGGCCAAAAATCAAATCATCCTTTGCCTCTGTAAAGTTTATTTTGTTTGGGAAATTAGAAATGAATGATAATTTTTTCTTTTTATTTTAATTTTAGTAGGTATCAATTGGCTATAATTGAGCAATTTCTTAATATGTGTACTTTAAAGAAATTAAAAATAAGATAAATCAACAAGTACATTTTGAAACATGCACCAAACTAGATCTAAGTGTTTTTAAGATATTAGAAACTACATCATCATAATTATTGATGTAAACACAAAATGCAATAACTTGAAAATTATTCGAAAATTGAAAATTGAAAATTTGTGGCATTTTTTCGAAGCTACCATCAAAAGTACATTCTCCGTCAGCAAAGACAACTTTTTGGCACATTGAATCTTTCTGATGAGCAAGTAAAACTTTCACCTTTGGCTTCAAAATTAACTGGTTACCTTGCTGGATATGGTGGAATTGACAGATTGGAAAGAGTGATTGATACTTGGGATCTGACTGACAAGCAAAAAGAAATGGTTACAACTTCAGTCAAAAAGAAGGGCTGTACCGGAATGTTTTGTAGCATATAGGGACCTTCTAGGGTAATATTTAAACCAAATGTTATCATCATAGCATTTTAACATTATTAACTTGTATAAATTTTGATTATATTTAGTGAATACTGATTACATAATTCTGTATTTTTTAAGCTAATACTAATGTTATTTGAGTGAAAAAGTTTGTTATGATGCTTTTCTGTACATTCAGTGAATTGTTATTGAAACAGTAAAGCTGATAAATATTCTTACTTAACATTCAATGACTGATTTGTGTTGTAGAGACATTTCAAGAAAAATAATTTGTGAACTGATTTCATTGTATGTATATTCTCTTCTACTTGTCAAACTATGTATTAACCATTATTCAAATAATGTATTTATTTCAACCACAGTATCCATGATCATATGCAAATTATTGTTACTGGGTTTTTATCTTCTGTCAAGGTTTCTGGGAAACTAATTGACATGTCATCCTTCAAATTGTTATGTTATCTAATATCTTGAATATTAACAGTACTTTCTTCATAAACTTGATCTTCAGTTGAAATTTGCAAATCATCCCCTTCTGGACTGTGTTGTGAATACATGTGGTCTACCATAGTTGGATTTTGTGATATATTTAGTAAATGTTCATTAACAATTTGGGAAGATCCCATCAATGAAACAACATAGCTGTCACTGGATGCATAGTGATTGAACCCTGCGTTCAGTGTTGAATTTTGTTGATCCATAATGCAGTCCTAAAATTGAACAAGTTTTTATAATGAATAATTTTAGGGTTTTGAATATTCATCAACAATTTATGTGGACAGCAAAATCAAAGTCATTTACCTTGAGTTATTTTCAATTTTTGCATTAATGGTTGTGATTGATTTCAAGTTTCCTAATTTGCACCAAGATTTACAAAGTGAAAAATATGTTTATGCCAAAACATTTGGTGCAATTGCCTTCGGGTATTCTGGCAACTTTGTATACACTGATATGCAGCAAGATTAGATGAATGTAGGAGACGCTTATTTGTAAAATGATTGATGCCTTTTTTGTTATTGATAAGAACCTTTCTTAAATTCCATGCGCTGGGTCATCAGTTTCCAGAATAACCATTGTTGGCATAAATAGTTAAAATCTAAAAATGGAGAATACCTTCAGCATGATAGAGCTGTTGATATCATGCGGTCTATCAAATTTTCTTGCGATCCCCAAGTCATCTTGGCTAGGGCAAGTTTCCATTCTCCCAATATCGTTATTCGCAAGAAAAGAAGCCATTCCGTTCTCAACGAAGAACGATCGCATCTCGATCATTGAGTCAGTAACATTGTTTACTGTTAGCGTTCCGTCGAAATCTGATGCCGTCAGTCCAATTTCAATTGCATTGTCAATACTTTGGCTATCCGTGGTCGTTATAGCTCGTGAGTCTACAGGCAAAAGGGAGCGATTGTATGCATGGTCCGCTGGATACTCGTTTGGGAACAATTCATTAATCTGTATTTCTCGAGGCAAAAATTGCGTCATCGACAATGGCACCGTAACGTTTCCAGAGCTGAAGATAGGAGACCCATTATCGGTTTTTGAGCTCTCTTTTGCGTAAGAGAATGGAGTTTCCTCAAGTTGGGGATTTCTATTGCTGTGATCATCATCACCATTACTGGCCATATCTGTTATACATTTTATCGCTGTCTTTTTTGTGTCTTTGAATGTTGCTTTTTCCAGAAATTCTTTGCTCTTTGCTCTTTTTGGAGGACAAACTGTTGTTTCTGTCCGTTGATCCAGTGTTACACTGCTCGAAGCAGTCTGAAAGATATTGCGTTTTCCTCAGTAACGAAAACAACATTAAAAACAGATTGTTTGACTTAGATAAATTTAGATTCAGCTCTGAAAACATTTAAAGAATAGATGAAGAAACTAAAGTACCAAAATCACATTTTCTTAAGTAAGTCTTCGTCTGCCGCGAGGGAGCGTCTTCTGCTGCAATTTAGGAACAAAACAGAGCATAAAATATTTTCCATGGAATATTTTAATATACCCACCACATTGGTGTCAGTTTGAGTTTGATTACAATCGCACATCTCGTCTGACGGGGGTAGGCATCCAGATGCATTCATGTACTGGAAGCATACAGCCTCACCAAGAGCAATAACCATATTCTCTGAATTGGGCACTGTAACACCCCCTCCGTTTCCAGATGACACAGTTACATCACTTTTTGCAGGAATAAGAACCTCATTTACTGAAATGTCTGTTTGCTGTGTTGAGTCATTTGGTTTTAAAATAATATCCGATACCTGTCTCTCAGTAACTTGAAAACCTGGCATGTTTCCACAACCTACACATAAAAAGACACGAATTTGAATAAAAAAGTTTTTGTAATATAAAGCGTAGAAAATACCGTTTTTAAAATGAATAAATCGACAAAAAGATAAATGGAAAACATGTAGTTGAAACCTTGTTCTTGTTGAAACTTTTCCATTTTTTCGATCTTTTGCTGGTGCCTTCTAATGTGTATTCGCAGTGAGTTCTTCGTGTAGTATATTTTTCCACAGCCATTAATTGGGCACTCATAAGATTGTTCCTTTGTATGACTGCAAATGTGCTCTTTCAAGGAACTCTGGGCAGTAAATGTAGAACTGCAACCTCCAAAAAGAAAGGCAATTTTTTCTCTTTTTGAAATGAATGAAGTGCAAGCCTTCATTGAGAGTTCAGAAAATTGTCCTCTTAACCATAAACTTAATTTTTAAGCATAATTTGCAAATAAACATTTTGTAATAAAACCGCTTTTTGCTGTTATATTTTGTAAAAATATTATTTTAATTTTTTGCTAAGCGATAGCATGGCAATACCTTATTGCAAAGTAAGAAGGGCCCTTGTTATATTCCATCCTTATTTTGATTTCTTGGTATCCATGGCATCATTCATTGAACAAAGTAAATTTTTTCAATTTACTTTGTTTTCCTTTTTTTTCCAAAAGTTTTCCTTTTGCATGATAAGCTATTTCAAAGGAAAATTGTCCTCTTTTTTCATTTGTTTTTTAAGAATTTGATACAAATATACTGCCTTGTATCCCGCACAATGAAAATTGTCATTTTTTCTCTAATACCATTTCAAGTTATTTCAAAGTTGTATTGTTTGATTCAGTTAATTACCTACTAGGGCCTTCAAGGGGTAAGAAAATGGTCTGACTTAGTGGAAATCCAACTTATCTGATGTACAACTTTGACAATAAAGTAGAAAATTCAAAATCAGTCTGATTTATTGGAAATCTGAGTAATCTGGCGTACAGCTAACAGGATTCAACTATATTTATTAAAGTAAACAGGGGATCATCAGTCAAAACTATGCTTAAAGATTACTTGATCAGTTTTATTCTGCAAGCTTATGCTACAGAATCACAAAAATTAATAAATTAATTTTTAATTATTCTTAGGTATTTGGTTTACGATGAAGGATGAAAAAATACAAGGTGTGTCAGATAAAAATAAGGATACCTTCAAAAGGGCATTTGATTTTCTCCCCTGTGTGGTGCATCTTGATGTGCTGATTCAAGTTATCCCGCCGTTTGAAGGAAGATTCACACTCGTAATATAAACAAAGAAATGGCTTAGCCATACTGTGAGAATTTTGATGGCGGTTTAGCTTGCTAGCTGAAGTGAATGTTGCAAAACACCCCTGGAAAAATATAAAAAATTTTTCCAAAAAAATTTGGCCACAAATTTTCCATTAGAATATTAGGAAATCATTAAAATTATCATTTGAAAACAAGAAAAGCACAAAAATTATCATCTGATGTATGAAATTGTATAGGAAATGAAAACCTTACTCATAATTTATTTTGACATTGAATAAAAACCAATATGCTGAATAAACTTTGCCTTTTAGATGACAGATAAACAAACTGATGCAATGGTTCCAAAAAACATAAACGTTCCAAAGTGGAAAAGTATACTTTTCTCCAATGCTCTATACAAAATATATTCAAGGCACTTAATGAAATCTTTTATTTATCATATTATTTTCTATATGTTTTACACTCTGACAAATGCTACAGGCTTCTTTTCTGAAAATAATGCCTAGTTGCCTGTCAGGGGTAAACAGTGTCAGCTTTGTAAAAGGTAACTTGGTAAAAAATAGAATAAATAAACATTTAGTCAAATCAAATTCAGTCAACTTTGACATCAACAAGGTGGGTTGAAAACCTCCAAGACCCCTCATTGTGCTACACCCTGTTGCCTTTTTGTAACTTGCTGTAAACACACTCACTGTGTAACTACACTTAAATGGTCGTTCATTTGTGTGTGACCTGGTATGAACATCCATATATGACTTTCTGCTAAACTGTTGGCTACAACCAGGAAATGAACAGATAAACCGCCCATGATTCTTGACATGGATGTCCCGTTCTGATGCTGACGCGAAAACCTTGTTGCATTTGTCAATCCTACATCTAAAATTGAAAATATTCAATATGATTTGAAATATAAGATAATGAAATGAAAAGTAAGAAAATAGTAATATTCAGGGTCACCTACAGGGGGCAAGGGGGCAAGAGGGACAACTGCCCCTTGGGCCATGCACCATCAAGGAGCCTGCCTAAATGGAAAAATATTTATTGATGTAATTTTGAGCTCAACACTTTTACGAAGGGAAAATAAATTACTCTTGTGTAAGTGTTCAGGTTTGGTCTGTTTGCAATTATACATTGTCTCATTTGCAAGCTAAATTGTATGTGCCTTTTATTATCGTATTGCAACATCTAAGGAAATATATTAAACTAACATTTACATTGAATTTTATTGAAAAACAAAGATGTTGAGGAAACATATACATATACATCTCCTAAGAAAGACATACTTGTAGGTTTTTGGCTGATGTACTTTTCTTTTATGATTTTCTAGCTCCCTGTTTGTAGTGAAGATTATATTGCATCCATCCTCCTGGCACTGGACAGTTTTCAGGTGAGATTCTATGTGTGACTTTAGCTTGTACACTTCATTAAAAGAGCGCTCACAATTTTCCACTGGGCACTGTGTGAATTGAAAAGCAGAAAAATCAAGAATATTTCAAAGTTGAATGAGGAACAAATAGAAAAGAGATACATAGTGCTATCATTCAAAATATAGAAGGCAATGTAAACAAGCTTTCTATAATTAGTCAGTCTACATTTCCGAATCAATCATCCTTTGATCTGTTAGCTGAACCACTCAAGGAAAATCTCACTGTGAGATTGCTTTTGGGTTTTAAAGTATTTGAAATTACATGAGATTTTGATTAAGCTTCATGTCAACTGGGCTCGTTTATTTGCATAATGATATTAGATGCTCATGTGTATAAAAGACTGGAAAAATTTATTTTCAATGTTAGGGAAAATTTGAAGCATGAAAAAGACAATTTTCCCACAGCATCAATATCATAGGAGGAGGTAGAGCAAACTGACCTTAAACATATTCTTTGCTCCATGTGTTGTTTGATGTCTTTGCAATTTGTATTTGCTTTTGAAAGACCACCCACATCCTTCTACATCACACTTACATGAAGAGAATAAGAGATACCTGATCACATGATATTTTAGTCTATCTTAACATTCAACAAGACAAATGCATCAAAATGGGGTCAAAGTTGGAGGGAATACAAATTGTTGAATACCTTTCAGCAAAGAAAAAAACAGCTTTGAAATAATTTATTAAATACACTTTACCTTAAATTTGAAGTGACCATTATGCTGAAACATGTGTTGCCTCAGGTCATTTTTCTTCAAAAAAACCTCTGTGCAGACTTTGCATTCAAGTATTGCAGTGGGCATGTCTGTTTTGTTCTGTAATGGGAAAGGTTTTTTCATTATAAAGGAGTGGATGTCAAAGTGCAAATTGATACTTCTCAGAATTAGAAACTATACATGTATTTCACTGTTAGGGACAAGCAAACAGGGATTGGTTTTGTACCCAAATTTGCGGTTTTTCAACCCCATTGAGAGGCATGCACCTTTGGATTTTTTCCTGTGTAGCCATTTACAGACTTCAGAAGGATGCACAACTATGTTAAATGCAATGTAGAGTGTAAATTGAAGGACCAAACAATATCTAGATGATGATGATGATGCTATTGATGATGTCTTGCTCAAATCACAATATTGTGTCAAAATTTTACATCAACTTTAGCCGTTTTTCAAAAACCTGCCAACTGGCTCATTTTTAGAAACAATAGAAAGAATAGGCAAATTGTGGAAATGTGAAATGTGAATGCTACACATGTCTTCAACCATAGTCAAGAAACCAGGGGACACATTTGGCACAGAAGGCATATGTCCCAAACGTTTTGCAAACAGAGGCAAAGTACCTGATTGTAGCTCAATGAGGTGTCCCTTTTTGCCTACAAGTGCCAAAAACTTCGAAATAATTCTTATGTTTCTGTAACAACTGTACCTCATTAAGGCTCTCGTTGCTGGATGCATTTTTGACTTGGTACCCTTGCCTCTGATTTGAGACAAGTTCCTCTCCAAATATTTCACCAAATGCAATCAAAAGCTGTCCAACATTATTTTTATCTTTGTCCTGATTCAAAGGTGCTGTATTAACAGTTGGTTTGCTTGCTGATTTGGAGGCAAAGTAGCGCATTAGAAAGTTAAACACTGAGAAAAGTTATGAAAGCATAAGAAAACAATAATGGCATCAACAAATTGCAATGAATACCATAAACAGCAATATTAGTCTATCTCTTCATATCATATATTCAATTCTTGATATATTCTACACTAAGGTATCAAAAGTATTGCACCACCTCGAAGGAGGAGAAATGGCGCATGAATGATCGAAAGCTATTGTTATGCAAATTAATTCTGTTTTTAGAGGGCCAATGGCAATTGGTCGAAAGCCAAACAACCACCAATCAAAACTTCAATCTATATAGAGCATTTATTTAAAAAATAACAATAGCAAACATCTTTTAACAGTTTCAAATATCAATATTTTGACTAGCTGCCGCAAACTTTTGAAACCGCAAAATGCCTCCTTGAAATGGATCCATGAATTTGGGCAACGTATTCTTGTAGAATTTCGTATTAGGCCTAGAAAAGTCTTAGAATAAATGATTCTCTGGCTTTTGGACGACCATTTGGATCATGGTTTGTAACATTTTTCATTTGAAGTCAAATTTTTTTAGCGATGTTAAAGATTGGACTTGATTTTGGCTATCCCAAAACTTTAATTTCTTTTTGTATGGAAATAAATATTTGTAAAAATGGTTTCCGTTTACTTAGGTAACCTTTTCTTTTGTATTTGTGCAAAACACTCATTACATTTTCTGTGGACGGATATTGAGCAGCAAAACTTTGCGAATTGTTGAGTTTCATGCCTTTTACTGCCCCTTGGTGCTCTACGCAGTGAAATAAAACCGACAAATTCTTTCCCCTTCAACATCAAATTTATTTTGGTCGCCAACTTCTCGGTTTCTTTACTACTGTAACACTCTCGAGAAATCTTGTTTGATTTACCACAGCTGTTGTGTAGCTGCATCTAACTTGGTCAACATTTTTTTAAAAATTAAAGACCACTTCCTCGTAAATGTTTTATAGCGACTCGCCTCTCATTTGACAATTTTATTTCCTCAGGCATGGGCTACATTTTTACAGATAAAAATGTTTTTGCGTAATTTATATATTTCTAACTAAGTTTTCTATGGCGTCAGCAAGATTTGCAAACTTTTCCCGCCAAAGTTTGCTCTAAAATGCGCCTATTTCAGCAAATTAATGCATTCAAATGTTTTGCCTTGTCAAAAAGTCGACAAAAAGTGCCGCCATTTTGAGCAGGGTGGTGCAATACTTTTGATACCCTAGTGTATACAGCTACATTTCTATTTAGCATATCACGCATACGGTTTAGTAGCTAAATATTTCCAACATTCGTTTGTAGTGTGAGGTCCTTTGAGCAAAGATAGAAAGTGAAGCAAGAAGCGTAAACTGCGGATAGTCTTTATGGAAATATTCGCGACTTGCTTGAATTCAAGCAGTGGAATAACGGTAAATAAAATATCAATGCCAAATAGAGTTTCTTAAAGTTAAACTTTACTTGATATTTACTTTCTTGGTATTGCTTGGATTCTTCTGTTGATGATTGAATGGTACACTCACAATCTCCAACTTCACCTTTCTTTGTAACAACAGTGCGATCGTGTTCTGTCGTCTGCACCATTCTTGATGTTTTTGCCCCTTGCGAGTCCAACGACACCCCTTTGGTCGCCATCTTGTAACAGAGCAACAACAACAATAAGCCTGTGTTGTTGCCACTGGTCACAACGATACCAAGAAGGAAAGACGGGAAATGGATACAGAAACGGGAACCTTTGGAAAGTATCAACAGAATCGTCGATTTCATGGCGTTTACCTTCTTTATTGCTTGAATGAAGCTCATAAGGGTCGAACTTATATTGGGTACACCGTGGACCCTCAAAGGCGCATAAAACAACATAATTTAGGGAAGGCTGCTGGTGGTGCATGGAAAACAAGTGGAAAAGGCCCATGGGATATGGTTCTGATTGTCCATGGTTTCCCAAATGATGTTGCTGGTCTTAGATTTGAGTGGGCATGGCAACATCCAACATCATCTAGGCGTTTGAGGCATGTTCAGGCAAAAAGACGGAGTGAAAAGGAGTTTGAATCAAAACTAAGGATTCTGGCAGAAATGCTTCGGATTGGACCTTGGCACAGGTTGCCACTGACAATTCAGTGGTTGAAACAAGAGTACGCCCATCTGTTCCCTATCAATGCACAACCCCCTGTACATATGCCAATAGCCTATGGCCCAATTACAGTAAAAAAGACAAATGTTAAAAAGTCTCTCAAAGATAATGATAGCTGTATTGTGAATGACCTGTGTAACATTTGCCATATACATGAAGAAGAAATTGAGGAAAGACAGAAATTGTTAAAATGTTGTAATTCAGACTGTTGCTTCATTTGCCATGCAATCTGTTTGGCAGATAAATGTAGAAATACGGGATTCATGGTACCCATAACTTTTACCTGTCCAAAGTGCAGAACAGACGCTCTGTGGGCTGATTTTGTGTTTGGAAATAGAAAGATTAATGAAGATTTGCAAGATGCAATTGATGATGGTGATGGAGATGTCATAATCCTTTCAGAGACTGAATCTCGTGAGGAAGAGTGATGAGACATGTTTCTGAAAACCAAGTTATACTATGTCACAATGTGATAGGGAATGTAGTAGTGCTAACACTCCTGCTCACCAAAAAGCTTTTTTAGGATACCTATTCTGTAAATTGAAAAAATTATCAAAGGAATTATGATCAGTATCTTTCACAGAAGGAAAAAAAATTCAGGAGTTTTAAAAATATTTGTAAGGCAATAGGTTAATTGAAAAAAAAGGTTTGGTCCTGAATTCAGAATAAAAAGGTAAAAGGCCTTGGGAAGTAGACATTTCCTATCTTGGCATTTTGCCAGTATGCTAAGACCTTGTCAAGTGACTATATAGCATCATATAATTTTTTAAGGAAAGCTTAGTTAAAATTATCTTTTATTATGTTTTAAGTATAAATTGTTTGTATTTGTAAAAAGGAAACTAAATGATGCAGTCAAAATGGCACTCAGTTACATTTAACAGGATTCTATTTAAAAGTGAGTGTTTAAAAGAAAGACTAAAATGTTGTTATAACCATTAGTAATTTTCTGCAATTATTTGCTTTTTAAGGTGTTATCCCATGTATAAAACTTTTTACTCAATATTTTTTATCAAAAAGTACAAGAAAATATGTTGTCTCATTTTGTTTTGCCATTTAAAGTTCCACATAAATGCTTGCTTTTCTCTGTCAACTTTTCTATAAATTTGTTGTTTGGTTTTTTATAAACATATTTGCAAACATTTGTGGTCAGTTACATTTTGGACATTTATTGTTTTTAAGTTAAATGTTGACCTTTGTTGCTTGATGTTGCAAAGAAAGTTAGTATTTGAAATTAATTGTTTTTGAAAGGACTTCACTGAGCAGCTGTCTCAACATATTCTTCTTTTATCAATTAAATAGAACAGAAAACCTTTCAGTTTTAGCCTAGATTTTAATATGGCTTGAAGTTTGTGGTACAGAAATTAATTAAAATTTGTTTTGCCTTTTCAACATGAATTATCTTGCACCACCTGTAAGGTCAATGTAACTGAAGAATTTCCAGACTTTTTGTTTGCCTGATATTAAAAAGGGAAGTTTCAGATGTTTAGAAGAAACAATTCTGGTTGAATTTCTTAATGATTTAAGATAAATTTTGGCTAAGCAAGGAACAAATCTAGGCTAAAAATGGGAAATTTGGACTAATTTTATGTGATTTCTTTTTGTTTAAGTCTATTACACAGCCTTCAGAACTACTTTTCTACCTTCTAGCTTCGCCAATTCTTTTTTTAATTCGATCACATTGTTTTTAAGAAAAACTGTTCAAGTAATCTTGACTTTCGCAGTGGTAGTAGGCAGATATCAAATATCTCTTTTAGTTCAACTTACTTGCACTGAAGAAAGCCGTATAAAGATGGCCATAGGTCTTACAAAAAAAGAATAACATCTGGATATCGGCAAATACTATCTTTTGTTTAGATTAAACATTACGAGAGTGTAGTGTACTGAGACGAGCTCGTAGCAACGTCTTGAGTCGTAGAAAGCCGCGTTTATCTTTCTACTGGCAGATATGAAATCTTGTTCGCTGTAACGGACGAAATAATTGCGAAATGGATGAGCGAAACATTGAAGAATTGTTGACTGACATTATTCATCTGAACCATTGTGACCATTTCTGATCTTTGATAGTTTCTTCTGAGATGAAAGGATTTTCATTTATTATTCTAGATTGTTGAGGAAACTGGCAGTTCATCGCAAGGGTATTGAATGGCGATTGTTGGTGTGTTTCAAAGAAGATAATAGATAAGGCATTTGTGGTAAGAAAACACATAATTAGATACTTCTGATATTACTGTGCCGCGAACTCGGCCAGTTATCAATGTAAGCAAATGCCAACTTAAAATTTTGTTTCTTTATATTTATTTGCTAATGCATTTGAATTTGTCATCTCATCATAGAACATTGATTTTACTTATTGCCCTAAAAAATCTTTAAATTGCTATTCGACTTTTCCTATACAAAAGATCAGAAAGGCCCATCTCATCGGATGGAGATAATATCTTTATTTCTAGGTAAGTTCATTGCCTTTCGGCCTCTCTGAAAAGCCCATCTCTGACAAGCCGATCCTTTTATTTATGGTATAGAACCTTCATGTCAAAGTATGTCCTAAACCAATACATAAAGGAAAAACATTTATTTGATAATCCACACTTGCAGTGTTGTTCGCAGAAGATTTTGCGGGTGCATTTAGCATGCTCTGGCTGGTCGATTCAAGAAACATTCTCAAAATATAAAAGGTGAATTTATTGTTTATGTTGCCAAATTATTTCGTAAGGAAAAAAGTTACGAAGAGGCTGAATTAACCAGTAGCTTGTCCTGGCAGGTAGAGCTTCTTCAGAGAGGAATCTAGTCTCCTTTTCGAGTGATGGGTTCGTAGTCAGCTAACGTTAAGGATTTCGAAAATTAATTGAAACTAATTAAAAGCATGACATGGATTCCTTGAGAGGAAAGTCCGCTGTCCCTGTATAATTTTCTGAAATCGGAAAAGTCCACTGTGAATCTCTTGCAAAAGCTACACTTTCCATTTTTCGTCACTGCTATTTATTTTGTGAAACTTTCTAACGTAGGCAATGGAAACTTGACGGCCAAAACAGTTGTGTTTAGTATTTATTTAAAAGGCAATCATATTGCTATCTACACAAAAGACTTTCATTTTACCAAATGATTTTTTCGCTGATGTAATATTTCTGCTTATTCCTAGGTAAACTCAGGCATCTTATCTTCGACCAAGCATTGCTCAACGGACTGTTTAAAATTTGCACAGTATAAATACCCCGGTTAAATTTGCCTTATTAATAATGCAATGTAAAATGGATGCTGAACCTAGACAACTCTGAGGGCGCTTAAAAAGCTTAGCAACACTCGCAGCAGACAACACATCGTTGTATATATCGAAGATGGCGTCTGCAGCAAGAACAGTAATTTTGTGTGCTGTGCTTCATGGGTACATCGCAGCAGCAGCCCTGATTTTTCAACTATTTGAATATAAGCAAGTTGAAGAAAGCCAGCCAAACATAAGACGAATGAAAGCTATCTTAACAATGGAGTATAATATATCAAGTGTAGATGCAGTTGAGCTGATCAGGCAGATAACAGAGGCGAATTTAAAGGATCACACAATAGAGATGAGCTCATCGTGGAAAAGTTTTCCAACTTCGCTTTGGTTCGTTATGACCTTGTTTACAACTGTTGGTGAGTTTTCTTATATAATGTATCGAACGAGCTGACAGTTTATGCTTAAATGTGTATTGCAGCAAGCAAGTTCTGCATGCAGGAACATTGACACAATCTTGAATAAAGAGGCGAATGTTGTTTTTTAAATATCAACGTATATCAAACCTGCATTTTTGATCGAATCAAGTTAAATTAATAAGAAATAAAACCATTTTTATGCAAGATGGCTGACGAAGCATCAACCGTGGTGAAGACTGGTTAACTAAAAGCTAAGCCAATTTTAAAGAAGTATCGTCCTTGAATTGACATTACACTTTCCACGCAAATTGTTGTCTTCTGGTATTGTTAACTTCCTCAAAACACCTCTGTTTTATGTCGTCTCTATTTCGTGATAACACTTCTCAAAACATATGGCTATCTCTGTTTTTGTTGATAAAATATAATATTGCAAAAGCAAAACAGAAAGTATACCATACTTTTGTTGACCGTATAGTTACTGAGAGAAAATGTTAGCAGTTGTTCAGAACAAAAGAAAGTCAGATATACATCAAAGCACTAGCTTGTTTTGCATTAGTAGAACTAGACATTGGCGAAGCAGACATTTGCAGATGCCCAAATGCCTCTTTCACTTAGCACCACAAAAGAATGAAAGGTTTGGTTATTGTCAAAGATGACTAAGTTTTTTCCGTGTTATCAAACTGGGCACTCCAGGGTTATTAAGATTTCTTTTCTTCAACATGAGTCAGTCCAAGTTTAGTTGCTTGCTGAATGAGTTAATAATCAGAACTTGGCAGTCACATGGGATTTCAGAGGGTACTGACAGACCCAAACATAGCCAATCAGATGCACAATCTTTGCCATCCAATATCCCAAATCTACATTCGCGTTTTATCTACCAGTTTTAAACCAAAATGCGATTTGCTTTGAGCATGTAATAGGTCTGCTTCTCAATTTTTTTTGAAGAATGCTTTTGGTCGGGAGGTGTTGATTCGTGTTGTCCTCCATTGCAGTCGAGTAAAGTGCAGTTCACATGTTTAAGTGATCGTCTTCCTGTCCCTTCTCATTTATCAAAAATTGATGTGGCAATGTCAAACAGCGCTTTCAAGCAATGACCAACCTTGAAAATGCAATTGATTAGCACATAATTTACATTGAAACTCTTTGGTCTTATGTCTTATCTAGTACAGAAATCGAAGCACAGGAATCAAAGTACAGGAATCGACTGTACACACAACTACGCGGCTTTGACTTGGTATTTACCAAATAAATACACTAAGCAACATTTTTACACTAAACTGTTTAGTCGACTGAGAAATCACCTTATATTAACGCAGCTACTAAACCAGGATTTAAAAAGAAATTAACAAGAACGCTGCACAGTTGTTGGCTTAAGGTCTTACCGTTTAATTTAAACAAATGCTCTTGCAATCTCTGTGAACAATTTGAATCAGAACCACAGGCAACTGTCGCTTATATCAACTTTATTACAACATCAATATATTTCTTTGTGCTGGTAATCATGAGATCGAAGGAATATAGCTAAAGTAAACATTGTTTTGAGCCAACATCGTGATAAGGCAGGGTAGAATATTTCATGTGTTTGCCCCCTCCCTCTGCTTGTAGGAGAGATTTTGATGCAATAATGCCAAAAATGGTCAGTTTTACAGTAACTTTCTGTTTTCCGGTTCTATTATGCTTAAAATTTTTCGGAATATTTTTCTCTTTTTAGGCACTGGACATCTCGTTCCGCAAACGTTCGGAGGCAGGTTGTTTTGCATGCTTAGTGCATTGTTTGGCATACCTCTCTATGCGCTGTTTCTTAAGTATGCCGGTGAACAGATCATCCACATATTGAGAAAGCTTATTGAGGTTTTCGAAATGACAATGAAGAGAGAAAACCCATTACAAATCAAGCACATGAACATTAAAGTGTTGATGTCAGCATTTTTATTGATGACATCCACAATATTGGTCGGTGCACTTGGCTCTTTTGCCTTTAAATGGAGCTATTTTGAAGGTCTGTTCAAAATTTGTTTTCACATTTTTTTAAAATCTTTTTCGCTCCAAGAGTCTCAATTGCAGTAAAAGCAAAAATTTATTGATTGCTTTCATTTTAAGGCCACTCTTACTTTGTTTAATATTAACAGAATTTTTCTGCAAAATCTTCGACTGTCTCTTAGGTTAGGAAGATTTCTGCAAAATGTATTTTTACCTTTTCCAACCACAAGAAATTTGATGTAATAAATCATGTTTTTTGGTACTAAAAGCGTTTGTGTTCATTGTGTTTACCAATTTTATACAACTCGGATTTCCCCAAATTGATTGAATTAGGCTAGAATTTTCAAAGTAAGATTGTCATAACAAGCCAAGTTCAATTTCAGAATGAGAGGAAATGAAAAAGAGCACGTGGTGATTAATGATTAAGTCGATTTCTGTATTTTGCCTTCGAAATTTTGAAACTACTTCAATAGGAAATTAAATCAAGTGTGTTGTGGAGAATTATGTGGCTCTTTTATAATTATAAGAATAATTATGTAGGCAAGATCTGAAAGTCTTAAAGACTTCTAGGATCTAGATGATCAAGAAAGATAATGAAATGAGCGAAAGAGCTTTTGAACCAAGAAAGTTGCAATTGGAGTATCTAAATAGGCAAATTGAAGGATTAAGGTTTCAAAATAAGAGTTCCTCTTTTAAGTTTTTTCATGAAAACGCAAGGATTGATTAAAAAGATTCACGATGGAGTTAGTTTTCAAAGACATATTAAGCGTTCAATTGATAAACTTCTGTGCATAATAGATGTGACACGTCCTAAATAAATGCATCATATCTTATATTGATGGAAGTATTTTCACAATCGGATTCTATCAAACTTTTTTAAAAATTCTTTTTTCACCTTGAACAGGACAATTTAAACAATGTTTCCAATCCAGTTCAGCAAGCAACCATTGTCGAATATGCATAGGTTATTCATTTTTTGTTTATTAACCCTTTCTTGCAGGACAATGATATGTGTAAGGTTCGATTAAGTTAGTGAAATTAGTTAGGGAGATGGAGAAATGGAGTATATTCAACGGAGGTCAGACGTTAACACACTGATGACTATTAGAAAGAATTAAGATTTGAGAACCGTCACATAATTTTTTGTTTATATATTGCCTATGCTGATTTCTTCTCATGGCGTTATAGTTGAGGTCGTTGTGATTAATTTCAAAGGTCCATGACACCTATTCTTACACTACTTTCATTTCAAGCAACGATAATCTACCTGCTAGATCAAAAACGTTTAGCCTCCTTTATAAAGATGCCTTTTCTACTGGTCCGCGAGTACGGTCTTCGGCATTTTTGTTGTCACAACTACTTTGGATACTGAGAACTTTTCGATGCCTGGAATATCAGATAACTGGTGCCTTTTTCTACTCCTGAAGCGACATTTTGGTCATGACAGGGGCTCGAACCTTAGAATCTTGGAAATGTAGTCTGCAGTACTAACCACTGAGCCATATTACACCTGGAGTTTCCCTTTTCATCCTACATCCACAGTGACTTCCAAACAAAAGCTGAACACCCATCAACTTGAGTATTGTCTTTTTTAGTTTCGTTTCTTTTCCCGAATGCGCACCCTCATCCCTCCCTCCACCCCCAGCCCCGTGACAATGCTGAAGGTTCAGGCAGACATGGTTCTCCCTGCATGGAATTGCATACTTTCGTCTTTCCTTCATCGTTTGTAGCAACGAAACGTAGCTTCAATGGGAGAAGGGGTTTTTGAAGTTGCTCTTGAAACCTGACGTCAGTGTTCCAAGACTTCTGATTGCTTTTGGCAGACATTGTTTCTTTTTGCCAGTATCCAAAGATTTGCTTTAGAACGACGAGAAGCTATGTTTTTCTACTTCCTTTTGATGCCTCCACAAGTTTTCTAGCTTCAAATGCTTTCATGCCCTCCAGAATCTGTTGGCGGCTTACGTTATATCTGCAATGCAAAGTTACCCAATCTTCCGTTGCCGAGTTCGCTTTTAACCCATTGAAATCTGAGTGAATTTAACGGTGTCCCCTGACCCAATTAAAACCCCTTGCACAGACAGAACACTTTAAAGAATTTATTTGAATATCTGCTTACAGCAACACGTACCATAAAATTTGAAGGTAAATTTGCTGTGATTATCTGGCGACAATATTTTCAAAGCTTTCCTCCACTTGAAAAATAAATGCAACAATATAAATGATTTATCAGTTTTTATTGTAACTTTGGGATCTTCTCCGTAGGTGTTTACTTTTGCTTCATTTCACTAAGCACTGTAGGATTTGGAGATCTGGTACCGAAAGTAAACGACATGCAACGTAAGGTCTTCAGCATCATATACATGTTCTACAACATAGTCGGCCTCACAGTGGTCGCCAGCTTTATCTCTTCATTGGTCAACTCAATGGAGGAAATCAGTGAGATATGGAAGAGTTTTAAGTTCGAGATACGTTTAGTGAAGACATTTGGGAACAATGAAAAGGTTGATGCAGCTGTTTCAAATGAAAGAAAAACAGAAGAACTCGAAGTTCACCAATCAGAGGAGGCGCAGGAAAATGGGCAGTAGAATGGTTTCGTTATAGTTAAGTTAACATCTGAGCAATCATGACTGCATGCAAGTGATCTTACTTTGTTTTTCATTTGAATTTCCAATTATGAACCAAGGTCAAGTTTCGATCTACACAAAAGGGCTTAAAAAATTCCTCCGAACAATCCAGTTTTGTGGAGAAAGAAAGTGTTGAACTTTGCAGGAATTGAGTTTTTTATTTCCGCAGCTTAGCTTTAAGCAGCTTGTCTTTTTTTGAAGATCTTTCTGGAAAAATTACTCAAGGAAATAATATTTAACAGTGCAATGGCAATCAATCAAGCATTTTGTCAAGATTGATAAGGGATGATGGTAAAGACCCCCGTATTGTTTGAAAGACTATGTAATTAGAGATAAGGAATTTGATTGGACTTCACAACAATGTTAACTGCTTACAAACAATAAGACGAGCGAAAACTGTTCATTTACATCAGATGTCGAGTTCAGCTGGGAGCATTGTTGTGAAAACATGGTGACTACGACGTCTTTCTTCCGCTTGTCGTTCTTAGTTTCATTAATGGAGATTTTCATTTTAATTTACGCTGTCATTATCCAATGCCTTGAGAAGGAGGATTCGAGAATTATAACAGGAAAGACTGCTTCACTTGTGGAGGCGCTGAGAAATGAGCAGTTGATTAAAAGCACTGAGACAGCTGTTTTGGAATTGAGGAAGGCGTTCAAAGAGGAAGAAGAGTATAGAAGATCACAACGTTTTGATTCTATCGAGAATGCCTATCTATTTGCCATGACGTCATTTGCGAACCTTGGTGAGTGTTTCTGCCATTTTGATGATATGCAATGAAATGATTTTCATATATAGAATACCATTCATTTTGTTAAAGGATAACTGTTAAAGAAACGTTTTTAATACGCTAGGTGGACAAGGAAATCTTCTTACAACTATGATGTTATCAACTTTGGCAAAATTGTCGCTTTAAAGACGTTTCGTTTAGAATTCCGGTTCCGGGAGCCTCATAACTTTCAAAATCGAACGGGAAGTGAAAAAGAAATCCGCTTCTTTATTTATCAAAAAGCCTGTTAAGATTCTTCTACAGAAAAACATTCAGAACCATTAAGCTTATAAATCCTTAGAATAACTAATAAACCTTTCCAAACATCATGCACCTTAAAAGATCCTCTCAATACAACGTTCTGAATTTTATAAGGACATAGATGTAGCGTTGAGATGTAACCCCTTGTTTGCTGAAGGCTGTCCTCTTAAAAACGAACAGTGTAGTTTTTCAGGTTTTATCAAGAACCAAATCTGGTCAACTGTTTTGCGGGTCATCTGCTATAAGCAAATACCAAACACATTAAGTTTCATTTAAACACCAAAAAAGCATGGTCCGATTAAAGCAGCAGATGTTTTTAAGCAAATTTGAGGAACGCCTTTCAAGGAACAAACAAAACTTAGATTCATCGTGTATTAAGTGAAGCCTATTGAAAAAACGATGGCGTCATATTGTGGACCTAAATGAAGTAAGCAAATATGTGCGAAGGAGATTTCAAAAGAACAGTAAGACGATCGACTGCTTTGTATTATGATTATGTTTTTGCATTGATGAGGAAAGAACTACTGTTTTTATATACCCATGGCAGTTTTGTTAACTGAGCTCTGTTCAAAGCTTCTGTAGGATTCAAGAGATGTGATGTTGAAACACAATGATTGTTTATAGGTCAGAAATGGTCTAGCTCAAAATGGCAATTGCTGTGCTCTTTTCATCTACCAGCCTGATTTCACTTACTGGTTTTATTTTCCATTTCCCTTTTTCCTAGGCAACAGCGGTCTCAGGCTGACTCATTGGCAGGCAAAGCTGTTCTACGTTTTTGCCACTCCGATTGGATTTGCACTGTATGTGATAATCGTCGTTTCTGTAGCTTACTGTCTTCGCGATGCCATGATCGCATGTATCACCAAAATCGAAAGCGCTAAACAGCATCAGATACGCCTTCTCAACATCAAAATTCTTGGTGTCTCTGCGGCTCTCTGCGTCATCATCGTCCAGATTGGAGGCACTGTAGCATTAATTACGAAGCACGAGTATATCGATGGGGTATATGTTACCATGGATACGATGACAATGATTGGCGCCCAGCCTATTGTCGAAAGCTCCCCCAAGCTCTATTTTACATTTTTTCTTAGTTTCTACTTCATCATTGCCCATGCATTAATCTTAGTCCTTGTCTGTAATCTCCAGCAAGCATCTGGGGAGCTCCTTGACTTAGTGTTTGATAATGAAACCAAGACGAATTGTCTTAAAAGCGATATTGTAATTTCAACGGAGAATTACAAAGAAACTTTAATGGCGTCGTTTGAAAGCCCTGGCTCATCGACCCCGCAAAGTGAACCCGATCTAGACAAGGGAGATATTATCTTCCCACAAATGTGGGGTGTCGCATACGAGTTTGAACCAGATATCCTAAATGAAAAACTAATGATTGGACAGACGGATCGAAGGGACAGCAGGTTTTCGGAGATATTCAACGCGCAGAGAGACTTATTTGAGCCGATTATGGAGAGAACTGAGAACCTAGAGGAGGATGTGATGTCAGAGCGGTCTTCTTACAAGTCGACGAATGATTTCTTTCAGAGCGATCATGACAATGAAAAACCAGGCCAAACCAGCGATGTCGGCCATTTCGGTCTTTCAAGCGGTGAAAGTACGCCGGTTGGAAGCAATCAAAGTTTGACGTCTAGTTTTTCAAATATTAGTTTAAATGAATTTGAAGACTCGCAACTTCTTCAATACAACGAATAAGCATTCATTTTCGATTTAAATTTGGTAATCACCATTTCTGTATATATATGTTGAAGTGTGGACTCGAATGAACCCTTTTTATGAGTTTCATCTCAAATTGCTAAAACTTTGAAAGATGCTCTGGCTTTTTAGATCTCCTTTGTTCAGCATTAGAAAGTTACTGCTCTGCAAATATAGAATTCTGATTCAGATTCATCAGGGTACATCATTTTTCTACTTTTAGATTAACAGTAAATAAAATGACTTGAAGAGATCATCAATCAAGGAAAACAAAGAGGAATCTTTGGTTTCAATTCAAGTCTCAAATATTTTTTTCGAACAACATGTAAAACAACATAGTTCCAATTACTATTAAATACTCTTCTAGTTACTAAAATCTAAAATCTACAGAGTGCGATAAAACTCTAAAATCTAAAACCCGCATTTAAAACTATGATGTGCTGAAGAAAAGTGTTTTGAATACCATAATAACCTTTAATGCAAAAACTTTCAACTGTAATAATTTCTATCATTTGACCTAAAGATGAATTAAATGTTTTTTTGTAAAAAAACTAACAAATGAAACAACTTTATCCATTAGAATCTCTAACTTTTAAGAACAAAGTAACCAAATGCATTATTGTGCCAAAGTTAGGCCCTTAACAATATTTTTCCTAGAATAAAGGGACAGATAACAATTCTCTTAGGTATGCATTTCATAGGTTGAGAAGAAACATGGGTGTATACACCAAGAGGAGGCTTGTTCTGTCTTAACAACAGGTTTTCACAAATAATCACCAGGTTGACATTTCTAAAGCTGCTCAGGGCCAAAATGTCAAGGCCAGCCTTGACACAAGGATGAGGCTGTCATAACGTTGCCATTGCTCTAAGAAAATGAAAAAGATCTAGATGTCTAGAAACTAGTTTTTTCAAAGGAGTTAGAAATTCACCAAAATCTTAGCTGCTTTGGTTAAAAGTAGAAATCTTGTGATGGAGAATCTCTTTTTGTTTGCTAGAATATAAACACTAAAGTACTTAAAATAATGACTATATGTATGTACAAACAAAGTTGGCTCTAAGAGCCATGGCAGCATCCAATAATATCTTCCCACCAGTTTGAAGTGGAATCATTGTTTCTTCCCAAACATGACCCACCATACCTAGAACAGAGACACAATCAATCAAAACCGTCCTAACTACATTTTCAAAACACTTGAGACATGAACAACAAGATAAATTTACTAACAGGCTTTTTAACCAAACAATTATTTTGTTTGGTGCAGCAATTGAACTTACACAAAAATGAAATTCAGGGTCAATTTTATGTCTCATCAGCAGCTCAATTTTCAATTAATATCTTAGATTAGAGATGTTGGTTACAATCTTACTACTGTAAAATTATTGACAACATATCATCTACATCTCAGAGAACAACACACAAAACTTTTAGAACCTACTTAATGGAAGACGTAGTACTGTGGTTTGCATCTGTAGATATAAAAATGTTGCTTTCTCTGGTTTGGTTCCTGTACATCTTCAACTCTATAACTGTTGGGAAATGGGGCAAGTCTTACTTCCTTGAACACATCCACAAACAGACACAAAAAGGCATTCAAATAAAATCATTTAAAAATGACAAGTTTGTGAGTAGATTGAATAAAACAACCCTTTTTGCTAAAACTATCACAGCTAACAACTGAGCTTTCTGAATGTGATAGTCACATATTATGTGTTCTTTTTATCTTTTTGATAACACCTTGAATGTGGTTCCTAAGCATGTGGTCCTGATGCTATGAGGATTGATTCAAAGAAAGGTAAAGATGAAAGAGCAAATTGCTCAAACATCAGATGGCTTCACGTTTAAACTTAATTATCACAAAGTTATAACCCACTGGGGAAAATAAAACTGCAATCCCCTTTGTCCACTAGAACAAGAGTGTTCCATCACCTAACTTAATTTTGTCAATCCAACCTAAGATTACTAGTAGGTAATGTTTACTCCTTTATTCTTTCAACAGGTTTAGGTCAACAGATAAAAATAAGCAACTTTTTATACCAGCTATAATCATTATGGCAGGCTGGCATCTTCTCTGTGGCAATTGCTTGATCTTCCTCGTCTGTTTGCATACTGCAGTCAATTTCCATATCAGCTGGTTTTCTACTTGATGCAAAACCATTTGCATTTGATAGCTGGTTTTCACTTGCATAAAATGATGGAGTCATATGTGCAACCATTGATATTGATTGGCATAACTGCACTTGGTTTTCAGCGAGCGATGCCTCTTCTGCCTGTTTCGTTTCTGGTTTGTTTAAACAAGCATCAGTTTGTTCAGTCATTCGCACTTGTTTCTGTAATAAATAAAAAAGTTATAAACAGTAAAAAAATTACGGAAAAAGCCTTCCGCGTTGATACTTGTAGAAACAGCATTTCATGGAAAGGACTGGCGGAATCTGTTCAAAAGCACTTGCTTTCGACAGCTGTTTTTCTAAGGATTGTTTCAAATTACATAATCAATAGAAACAATATCAGAATTGTTTGTTTACCTAGGCTTTCTGCTAAACACTAAGTAAAATATATCTTGTCACGAAATATTTTGTAGGTAATACCTGTGCCGTTGGGCCTAGCGGCGTTATCTGCATTTCAAAATTTCCCGCCTTGTCCTCGATCCAATTTTGCTTCCGCTTCAGGCCGCCTATACCTCCATTGAATTGATGATGCCCGCCAAAATCCTGGTAGCCCGGTTCACTAGCATTTACATCTCGATGTTGAACGAAAGGATGGGCCAGTCCATTGGTATAAAAGCTGTTCTGTGGCATCTTTGGTTAACTTCTGGATGATTCGGTCTTGAATCAAAAACTTCTCTTTTGTAAAAGGACTCTTTTCCCTAATTATAAAAACGCTTGAAATTGTTTAAAACACTAAAAAACTTGAGTTGTTTCTTGAAAGATTGGTTGTCTGTATTCTTGTTAATTCGGACAGGCTAGAAGCGATTTATTGTTCTTTGATTCAAAGTTTCTGGCAACGTAAATTCCTCAAAGAAGTGATCGTTAGTGACCTTGTAGTAAACATGAGGTTTCATCACAAAAGGAATCAGATCGGTTTCCAACCTTGTTTTCAAAAGACAACGCTGCTCCTCCGCAGGTCATTGATGGCAAATAAAGCTGTATTTGCCGGGGGTCGCCTCTGTGTCACGAAATTCAAACCAGACAGATTATTCATGAAAACTGGGGACAAAGAAATATTTCAGGGCATGAAAGGAAAGTAACATGTGTAGGGATATAATTTACAATCATAAACTTATAAATTAAGAAAAAATCATTAGGTTCAAATAGCGTTTCTTGGTATGCCACCGAAACATTCTAACTACGAATCTGGCATGGAGTGATTTTAAAAAAAACAATATGTGAATTATTATAGGGACATAATTTGCAATCAATATGTAGGGACATAATTTGCAATCATTATGTAGTTATTGACATAATAATAATAATAATCATAACCGCGCAGCGACCTACAAAGATGCTGAGCAGCGGCTGGAATAGGATGACAAAATGGCTTCCAGTAGCGTTGGAGGGTCGACTTCCACTCACAGAAAAGCTCTTCTACATTCCGTATCTATTCTCTGTAAAGAAGAGGGATTTGATTCAGCATCAAAACTAGCACTAGAAACACTGACAGAGATGTTACAAAGTTGTAAGTATGGTTTGGTATATGAATGACTTTAAATTAATAATTAACTGTGTGTTATATATGGGCTATATGGCAGTATGGCTGGGAATATTTGAATAATTGCTTGATGCAGCAAGAAAAAAAAACAAACACTTCAGCCTAAGCATTTTTCTTCCTTTACCCATTGAATCAAAACATTTAGTTAACAAAATTTGTAAACCTACATTTAAGGATAAAGCCTGTCAAAATATTGCCTTAGGATAATTGGAAATATTACCTTAGGATAAAGCCTGTCAAAATATTGAGATGTGCCTGTAAAGTTCATCTTTTGCCATCTTGAGAATACTTTCAAAAAGTAAAAAGAGCTTTCAGAAATTATATCCTTTATTACTGTACCTAAAGATTATTGTAAAGAGATAAATCAGTATGCAGGGCTTGGAGATGAACTAAAATATTATTTAGCTATTTATTTCATAACCAAGATCATTAACATCTTTCTATCTTCATGAAAATACTACAGTGGTCCACAACGGCCATGGCACAATCTTTTTTCATGGCACAGTTATATATTTACACGGCACAGATATATATTTCTATGGCACATATATATATTTCTCATGGCACAGTTATATATTTCCACGGCACAGATATATATTTCTCATGGCACAGTTATATATTTACATGACACAGATATATATTTCCACGGCACAGATATATATTTCTCATGGCACAGATGTACATTTCCACGGCACATTTTTATATTTCTCATGGTACACTTTCATATTTCTCTTTCATTGTGATTATTCCCACATATAAATATTCTGAATAAAAATTCTGGCCACTATTCCATCACCATCATGTTCAGCAAAACGGTCATTCAGCTCACTGAAGCACATTTAAGAACATTTCTTTGAAGCACCATGGGACAGCAAACCCTGATTAATATCGGGCTTTATTCAACTATACCCCCATTATTCAACTCTTGTCCATAAAAAAGATTTCGACAAAATAATTGAAATATTTAGTTGCCTTTGTTGAAGAGATTTGTATTTCTTTTGATTTTTCCGTAAAAATTTAGAGAAAAATATTTTTTTGAGTGAAAAGAATTTGAGCCACCTTTGTCTGATCTCAACCTGTATGCCTATGGGCGGGAATGCAGTGTTTTTATCCGAATGTGAAATCGATATGTGCCATCTCCAAGAAATGTTTAGGACAAAGATATCTCTGGTGTACACATGCCACACTGTGCAGACTGGCCAACCACACCAGCCAGTCTGCTGAAAATGAAATTTATTTTAAATTATCCAAAGATATGATTATTTCAAATCACAAAAAAGAACATTGCTCCTTTTCAGTTATATTTTCTTTATTTATCTGGCTACACGCCTCATTATTAAAGTGTGCCCTGAGAAGTATGAAATTATGTCGTGAGAAATAAGAAAGTGAGCCATGAGAAATAAGAATGTGTGCCGTAAGAAGTATGAAACTGTGGCGTGGAAATATGTAACTCTGCCGTGAAATAAGATTGTGCTGTGGCAGTTGTGGGCCACCGTAGAAACACCCTATCTCAAGAGAGTCATAGCAACATGAAGAAACGAATAACAAATGAATGCGAATGTGACTAATCTCATCCAATAGCAAGAGAAATGTGACTGAAGTCACATATTATTTAGTTATAGCCTGTTAAGCTCAATTCACACTAGACATGTTTTTTTGCCGCTGCCCAAATAAGGTTCGCGTTTTTTGATGAATTGCATGCGCATCGCGTTTTTTGGGCAATGCGTCACAATGCGGCAAAGTTGGATTTATCCGCATCACAACAATAAAAGAGTTTTGTAAGCAAGCTGTTCTTCTTTCTTTGTAAACAATAGCGGGACAAGAGGCATGACCGGTTTTTTTAAAACACTGAAATGGCGCTCTATTAAATTGGTGCCTGAGCCAATATCGCTAAAGAAACACTATTTCGTACAAATATTCTCGAACTGCAGAGGATGGGCACACAGAATGCTTCCCTCGAAGCTTTTTGCAATGACTATTTGAAACAGATTTTTGCTGACCCGATAAAGATAGAACGTAGAACGAGCCAGGGCAGTGTTAAATGAAATAAATGTACAGAGAGCTAATCCAAGTTTCGTCTTAAAGGAGCTGCTTTAGCTTCAATTTTCAAATTCTTGAGACATAAACTGAAATTAAGTCCAATATCACTGCCATTGTACTTTTTAAAAGGAAAGGCAAAGAGACGCACTAGATATGAATGCTTGAATTCCATTCTTGAAAAACGCTGTGTGACGCGCCGCGTCGCACCCCTTCTAGTGTGAATTCAGCTTTAGTCACAACTCAAGAAGACCTGCATTCATATGTGGCATTTTGATTATCACTCAAAGCAACTTTAGAAAAGAATAGCGAAGGCAGGGATACCAAGTTTAAAATAAAGCTTATTTTTCTTTAATCGATAAACAGGAACTTGTTTTACAATAATAGATACTTGTAACAAGAGAGATTTTAATATCAATATTCAGTCTAATTAGTAGGCAAAATTGAAACTATTAACTAAGTTTGTCAAATTCAGATATGTTGTGTGAGTCTTGTGCAATTTAGAGTGGAATAAAAATACACAGTGTTTCAAAAGTATTCAGGGGTGGACAATTTGGTCTCCCACACACCTGAGAAAACTGGTTTTTATATACGGGAGAATGCTTATCATTACAAAGAGTAACTGCTGGGTGACAAAATTTTTATTGGAATGTTCACCTCTGTGGCCAGAGTCCCGTTTTTGGAGACCACATGCCATATGCTAGAGACCAACGAAAGAGCGCTTGTCTCCCATCAGGGGAGCATATTTTTATGGGAATGGTCCACCTGTAGGTATTATATCCCGTTCAAAACGGCAGTACTTTTTGTTAACTTTTTGACAATAGAAAACATCAAATGAATGCATGACTAAGGTGAAATGGCATAAGAGATAAAGTTAAAATTGTTTACAAAAAACATTTTGTAGCAGCAAATGCAGTTTCTAATCAGGCTATTTCAGACCCTGTTTAAATTGTCCTGTTCAAAACAGAACCATGATGGTACAAAATTTGTTGGCTTTCCTAACAGGGTAAAAACTATTCCAGATACAAGTGTTACATTTTGAGAGAAAACATTTTAAAGCTGAATATGGTGATTTCTCTGTTGTTCTGAATCAGATTGGTAATCTCTTAATATAATCTAGTACTTGAAAGTGCCCTTTTTCAGAGGAAAAGGCAAGAACAATCTTCAGGTAGTATGATTTATGACATGTGACTTATGTGGGGTTATGTCCAAATTTTTGAAAAAATAAAAGCTCTTATAAAATTTGTGTCTGAAAACCTAAATTTCTCACCCTTCCTATGAATTTTTCTATCTATGCCACAAGATTGATAATAAATTTCATCACCTCAAAATCTTCTTTTTGTGGGTCTATTTGTCCCCTGCAGATCATTGATTGAACACTACCTGACAACTGCCATGTTTCTTTGAGAATTTGAACAAAGCAAAGCGATTGGCCTGTTTAAAGAAAACAATTTCGGCAACTCAATCAACACATTCCTTCCAAGGCTAATCTTGTTATTCTATTTAGAGGTTATAGGGTGCTTGTGTAGCAGACTTAATCGAGGCTGATCAATAAGTGTGCTTATTGATTTCATATTTTCTCACCCTCCCGAAACCCTCCTGTATGTTCTAAATCCTGTGTGTAAGTTCTCCATGTAGCTCTTTTGTTATTTTCTGTATTCAACATTAAGTTTAGCAATTATAGTTTGGCAATTTGGCGATTTTGGATTTTGATTAGCTATCATCTATATTTGCTCCATGTTGAAACCCTTCTGTGGGTTACTCCCTAATATTCTCCTGGCTATTCAGGATCCAATGATGAAGTTTTCCAACAATGTACTTTTTATTCTTCATTGACTCATGGGGCTTGTTAGATATTTTTTTGCTCCAGGCATCATACCCCTCCCCCCAGTAATGATCCCATGGGCATTGAAAATACAGCAAGGAAACATTCTTAAATTAAAACTTAGGAAAGAGCAAGTTTTTTACATTGTTACACATGTATATTGCATTCACTTTTGTTTTTAGGAAAAAGAACTTTGGTCATAAATATATTAGCCTTTAAGTTTTATACAAAAGATTGACATTAACTTTTTGACCCTTTCCTCCATAATCATTGTCAATTGTTTTTGCCTTTTGGTAGACCCTCCCCCCCAGTACGTATTGAGCTCAATTTTGACACAATTGCAGTACAGTTCCATCTAATTTTTACATTCTTTGGAATATTTTCTAGTTATCAAGTAATTCGTTTTCATTATACTTATATTTTAGTTGGTATGTGTTGTTTTGTTTCAGTTAGAGCTGTAGGGCTGCAGATTTTCATAAAAATTCAAGTGAATCTGTTGTTGTCAAACAATGTGGTTGTTTATAGAAAATATTTACTCTCTTTGCAGCCCTTTATCAAAGTCCCTGCCACCCCATAAAATGTTGGTTGTTGTATATGCTATTATTAGTAACAGCTATAAAAAAATTCAATTTATTTTACAGATCTAACTGAAATTGCTGAGTGCAGCCGTGAATATTGTGAACAATGTCACCGCACATATCCAGATGTTACTGATGTAAAAATGGCTTTGATTGACCTTGGTAAGAATACAAAATGTTTTAGTGATAAATAGAAGAAAATGAAATTACACAAATAAATAGAATTAATGAAACATTAACAAATTTGATTGGTCTGTATGCGCTTCATATATTTGAAGTCTATTTGATTGTTGTATGAAAAATTTTGTTCTGTAAAAATTGAGTTATTCAAACTGCAGGCTCTTCAACCCTTTAAGAAGGCCTTTAACTGCTCCTAAAAGAAATTTTGCAGTTACTTTGTCTGTTATGATATCATCCTTTTGTTCAGGTCCAAGGTCAGCTTTTAAACAGTTCTTGAAAACCTCAGTTATCTGTTTTACTTGTTCACAACTCTCAGTTGGCTGCAAAACAGCCTCTGTATCCCAGGAGTGGAAATGTGAATCATCAATATAGAACTGGTACCGTAAAATCACCTTTTCTGTCATCCCAGGACTAATATCCAGGTCCCATGTACAAACAGCTTTCATGCGCTGATCTAAAGGAAGTCTAAACATGAGCACACAGTTACGGAAATCATCATAATCATCAGGAGCACCCCAAACAGATGCTTGAAAATCAAGTCGCTTTAGTAAGGTTTTCACTGCCAGCTCATTTGCAAAAATCAAATCAAAGCCTGTTTTTCCTGATATGTGGAAACACCTGTCAATATTCACAAAGAAGGATGGTTTTTTCTCTAGAAGTGTACCCAAATGAAGAACTAGTTCTTCCGATAGGTCTCTATTCTTCATTTCAGCTAAAATAAACTTGTCTGCTTCTTTGTGATAGGCCTCAATGGCATTTTTTCTCATTGTGGCAAGGTTCTCATGGAAAACTGGGCCATGTGGCTCTTGGTTCTTCTCTTCCTCTATAAACCGTAACCCAGGAACATCTACAAATTGTGGTTTATGAGGAAAACTCAAGAACAAATCAAGAATGTATTCTGGGCGTAGTTGAACATTTGTCTCTGGCAATATTTTAGCCAGAATGTCAGTTATTTTGCCAATGCCCTGCAAATCTGAGGTGACTTGAACATCTTCAGTGTCAGTTATCTTTCGTGTGATTGATTCTTCGTATGTGTCACTTTTATAAATCAGTATGCACCTGCCATTTAAATAAGCTTTGAATTTAAATTTTTGTGATGTGAGTGCAATCAACTGCTTGACATACTCGTCACCTTCTCTGGCTACTGGGGCCCACCCAATATCATCACCATCATCATCCTCATCACTTGCCTCTTCATCTGAGCTTTCTACATATCCGTCCTGTATTTCCATTGCTTTGTTCTCAGAATAAAGCTTTGAAAGCTGAATAATTATTTTGTCAGATCCGATTTGAAAATAAAAGTTTTGTCGTTTTATCAGCCAGTCTGTCTGAGGGCGACTGTGTACTTCCTCTGCAGTGTACTCGTTTAAGAATGAAAATAACTCCGTTGCGAATGGGCCACAGGAGTTCCAACGTGTTTTAATAGCATCACTGTTAAGTACAGACAGCGTCTGGCCAAGATTGACACCCGTTCGCATTAGTTTCGCTAGCGCACAAGTAGGGTAATTCTTGAAGCTCCTTGCACTGCTAGTCTCAAACCAACCTTCGAACCATGCATCTTGAACCAAGAAGCATATTCTTCGAAAGAGAACATTGCTGCTCCACGAATACCGATCCGCAGATAATGTATTGATCCTTTTACATGTTTTGCTGAATGATGAAAAGTCGTTGAAATCAAAATAACCAATTATTTGACAAAGACTAAAATTGTCCAAATCTAGTAGGCCTATGGCAGAGGGCCTAGTTTCCAGCCGGAGTTCACCAACATCCAGCTCTTCGCTGCCGTCTTTCATAATGATATTTCAAATCGCTGATTTTTTCTTTATGTTTCGAGGCCAGATGGAGAGTTAGTCCAATTTATTTTTTTGAAATATTAACTTTAAACTGAACAATCGAAAACCTCTTGGATAAGAACCACCAGTCCGCCCTCCAACACAGGGGAACAAAACCACGAAAATTTGAATCTCCTTCGCAGCTACCGCAACAGAAATTACTCAAAATTGAATACATCCCTGGATCAATAAACTTATGGATAAATTCAGTAATACTGAAAGGGTTACAATCCTGTAAACTTTCCCATTTTTGTCGGAGAACCCCAGGTTTAGCTTGTTTTCTCCCGGCCTTAAGGTTTTTTCAGGTTTTCACCCTGTTTTTCTCCCTGTAAAATTTGTTTGTGGTGGAGCCTGGCAGCTTTATTACATTTTGACGTAATTGGAAAATGTTTGATTGCAACTTAGATAGAAGGATACTTGATTCAAAAATATCCAAAAGGCCTTGCTCCGTTGCCCGGGGGTATGCAATCTTCAATCTTCAACCTTCAATCGTTTACTCTTAAAGGTTTTACAACCAATCTGAAGCGTTAAAAAAAGGGAAAATTAACTCAGAAGTAAGATTAATACCATTTCCATCCAGCATTCCAATTTGTTGATTTCCACTGTGCCTGGCTGTACACAGTTTTTCTTGGGCTTCTACCCCTCAAATCCCCCTTCTCCAGGTGCTGGGTCCGCCACTGCAAGCTGTATCCCCAATTGCTTTTCTGCCTCTTCTGCACCCAGTTCTGGACCACTTTCAAATTATCAAAGCAGCAGGGCGAGTTTATGTATAGGAAGTATGTCTTGACGAATCTCGAAGATTTCTTCTAAATTTCAACTCCAAAATGTCCCATGAAGAGTTTTTGCATGAAATATGCCAATTGTGCCCCACGAATTTTCTCTCAAAGAATTCTGTATTGCTTTTGAGTACACTACGCTTTAATCTTATCCAATATCTAGCTTATCTAACATCGATGATTTGATTCAGGCTGTTTTTGTTATTAGGGATGAAAATTGACAACCTTGACCTTTATGCTCAGAGAACTGGCAGAGATTCCGTCAAGATACGTAAGTAGCTCATTCTATCCAATGTCAAGCTTTCATAAACGCTTCAAAGCCTCAAAAGAAATTGATCAGAGTAGAAGGATTCATTATTCCTGTAAGAAGGCTTGAAAACCAGACGAGGGTAACCTTGGGATTGGGGGCTAGACTGGGTACCTCTATATAAAATTACAAGAATTGATAGAGCTTTAATTTTTCTTTACTAAAAATGCTCTTTTTGGATAAAGAAATATTGATATACCAATGATTGAAATATTGTACTCATCTTCTGCTATGCACCATTGATTTTCATCTGAACGAAGATACAACAAAGGATGCTAAACTGTTTACTTTAATCTCCTTGTTTGTGGATTATTTTGTTACTGTTCTTCCATTTAATGCAAATCTTCCAAAATTTCAGCTGGAAAATCAAAGCCTCCTTCCACACCGAAGCCGCTTCAAACATCACTGACGAAACAACCTCGCCCCTCTCACGTCCCCGTTCATCTCCCTCCCTTCCCAGACGTCCATTCGTACGTTCGAACTCCTGTAAGTATGATTTTAGTTTTCTTGTTTTCTCTTCTGCAGAGAAATGGAAGTCTGCCTGTGTTTATAGGCTCTTGTTGAAAGTGGACATCTGAATGAGAGCTACCATCCCGAACACAATTGCTCGGCTGAAATGCAATTTTTGCATAAGTTTGAATCCCGAATTAATGCTTGATTTGTAGTTCTATCATTTGTCCTTAAAAAAAATGCATTCAAGATTTAATCAAGGGAGGGGTGAAGTTATTTTTCAAAGAGAAGAGATTAGCATCGGATTGCAGTGTCTTTTATCTGGATGTGTCCATCTGTTTATCATAACATTTTACATATATTTTATGTGGATGTACCCAAGGCTGACAGGAAAATCCCTCTTCGAAATACCAAGAGGAACAGAGGGAATTTTATCTGCACAAAGACTTTGAGTTAACATTTGTTATCATTACAGATCCCGTTTTTAATAGGTTGAATTCAAATTTTTTCACAGACTTTGAGAAAACCTGTTAACGAATATAAGATTATACGAGAAAAAATTGCAGCGCAGAAAAGGGATGTAGAGCTGTCTTTGACTGGGTGAGCGTTATTTGCAAATGTTTTCTTCATTGCATTTCCGTAAATCTTTATTCTTCTAAATTTTCATTCTCCCAAATTTGGATTCCCAAAAATTTACGCTTTCTAAATTGTCCATTTTCCTAAATTTGTATTCTCAAAAATTTTACATTCTAGTGTTTCTTATTTCACATACTTCTTTACATTCTCGTTTACATTCCCGTCTTGCCTTGTATCGTAACTATCGAATTGGTTTTTTATTGCAGGTTTATGGCCAGAACGAGACTTGCGGAAACGAGAATATTCCATAAAATGGATCAAACCAAATACCCAAGTAGGTCAAGCAAATCTTTCAAAGGTTGCGTTATGCGTTCCTTTTAATATGCCTTTGTAAATCTTTTGTAACTCATTTGTAACTAGAATTACTGGGCGCTTCTTTAGCTAGGGTTTTCAAAGCCGCTCTCTCTAATTATAATCAATAGAAAGAGCAATTACCATACCCAAACGATAGAAATTTTGAATGTGCAGGTCCTTTTTTACTGGGTATGGTCAAATTTGCCGTGAAATTGAGAGAAAAGGTTAACAATCACTCAGTTTATCACTCAATCACATGAATCATTGAGTGAAATCAGCAGTGAAGTAAAGCCTAGAGGATGTCTGACATGCCAAGTTCTTTTTGTTGCAAAGGGTGACCGCTGACCTTGTTTTTAGTGATCGCTCCCGAGGACCTGCCTGTGACGTATCTTCGAGCACTGTTTACAGAAGAAGAATGCAGCGATGAATTGGAATGGCAAGGAGATCAAAGGAAAGACGATGATTCGGATTTGAAGGATAAAAATGAAAACTTGAAGGACGTGCAAGATAATCCTTATGTAAAACCACCAAAGAAAGCTAAGCTCCGTTAGTTATTTTAACTGGTTAGGCACACAAAATTCAAACTTGCATTTTTTTAAGGTCTCTACACGAAGAGTGATTTCCTCATCTTTTGAAAAAACAGATTGGTATTTCATGTGATACTGTTAAAAGTATATTTTGTTTCCTATAATTTTAACCCTCCTATGTCACAGCTGCTTTCTTCCTCCTTTTCTATCTTGACATATCCAGTATTGTTGTGGATTTCCAACGAGTACCGGTAACTCATATCGGCAGTTGAGTCTTTCTTGGTCGTTATTGGTCGCTCAGACGCACATGTGATAAAATCGCTGGAAATCTAATTAAATGTTCATTTGTAAATTTGTTTTCGAGCTTTCAGCGTTAAATCGATAAACGGTGGATCAAAGGAAGATGCAGAATATATTACAATGGTTAGAACACCGCATGTGGAAGTCATTTTACAGGAAAACATTTTTAAAATTGAATCTCATTTGGCTGATGAATCTTAATCAAGCAATTAATATATTTTCGAACTGCTCATAATTTTTATAAACACAGTGACGAAGCATGAATTTCCATGTTCATAGAAACGTCGTTTAGAGAGAAAAGTGTTTGCATTTTCTCCACACTGTCAATTTGGCTTAAGTTTGACCCAGTTAAAACTGAAGAGTAATGTTCAAAAGAAACGCTTCCTTCCATGTTAATATTTCATTTTAAAATACAAAAATACAAAAGACACATTGCATATACCCACACTCTTAGTGCGACCAATAATCACAAACGATGTCATTTATATAACGATTTCAATAGCGATTTAAAGCACGTGTCTCCATTCATTTAATAACACGGTTCCTGTCTAATGTCAAATTCTGCACAAAACGGTTCTCTAGTCAGCCATAAATCCGAAATTATTTACAAAATCTAAGATTGAGTTTTGGAATCTACATTAAACAAAATGGCATAATATGGTTCATCATTTTCTTCCGTGGGAAAACTACAAGGGGTTTGTTTCAAAGCTGCAGAGAAAAAAACAAAGTCTTCAGTCCATGTAAACATCAATTTTTTAGAAAGAAACTTAACCAGAATTTAATAAGTGTAACACCACCAACATTGCCAATTCTTGTACTTGTTTAGAGCAAGTAATTATGTTCTAAGTCAATCTTAATACTTAATAGAAAACAACAGTTTGGGAGGTCATTAAGTCTTAATCTGTGAAAAGAACTGATTAAGAAAGTTTAAATCTTTAATTGTTATTGACAAGAAACAATTTATTGATGCCCCACCACAGTATCATTGCTTTCATAATTTGCTTATGCAAACTTTTTGACATAAAATCAAAACATTATAATCACCAAAATCAAAATATCATATTGACTAAAGCTGTAATCATTCTTTGCTAGATATGAAGCTTGTACACTCTTGTTTTAAATATTCCAGATAATAACACTCTGTAATATTATCTGTTATTATTAATCAATGTTTTCCTTACAAACAGAGATAAACACAAACATCACTCAGTACACTTGTCAACAACAGAGATCACATAATCTACACATTTCCAATAAATAGCCTTTTATGTTAAAAAATTCAAGTCAATATACCCAACCCAGTTCACTAAAATTCTTTCTATCTACATAAAGTACAAAACACAATAATAGCCCAGTTTATATCATGACCACTTTAAGCAACTGATCCAGCCACTGTGCCATATGGATGTGAAAATTTTTCATCCATTAATAGGTTTAATATTTGTATCACTGCAGCCTTGAATTCAGCAGCATCAAACGACAGATCTCTGTAGCTTTGACTGCTTGCGGTTGTGCTGGTAGCTTCATCATCTTCAGACTCTCCACCAGACTCATCCTTCTGGTGCACCAAAGGGAACTCTAATGACAGAAAAACTTGAAACCAACCTGTAATTTTAAGACATAACCTAACAAATTAGTGAAAAAAACTAAGGTGGAAGGGGTGTAGCTTCCTGAACATGAAGAGAAGAGGGAAAAGCTCATATTGTGTGACATTAGGGACAAATTATGATACAGAATATATCTGTGCTCCACTTATGTTACAATTGCCTATAAAGGTTTACAAGGATTAAATGTAACTGTTAACATCCTCATGTTACAAAATATTTCATATTTATCATTAGTTTTCTGAAATTTTATTTCTTTTGAAACATGAAATAGGCACACACAGTTTATTCTACCATTTATTAAAAGCCGTAAGACAAGGAGATGAAAAATATAAAAAAATAAATATGATAGAGCTTTTTTAAAAACGTACCATTGTAGTCCTTGAAACAGACAACACCCCCTGTTTTCTTGTGCAGCATTTTGACAGACCATGCACTTACATCGTCACTCGACTTGTACATGGAACAATTCAGATCAAACAGGCATATCAGGCGGTACAATGCAAGACAGGATGGCAGTGCTTCCACTGGCTGTGAAAAGTCATCGTCAGTCATGGCATGGGACTTTGATGAAATAGAAGTTCCGATACTTGCAACTGAATTCTGAGACCAACTAAGGCAAAATAGCGGTGACAAAGGAGGTGACAACAATTGATCAGCCAACGCCTTATTTTCTGGCAGCAAAGGTGTCACACTCAAGGAGCTATTTGACCGATTGTGTTTCTCTAAAAAATTTCCTGCTTTTGGATAGGACTGAATGCCTATATCAGAGTTTGACCGGCAGTGAACATGAGTCACTAAGCTTGGAGAAACTACCTGCCTATCTTTCATTGGCACAAATGGGCTTTCAGGATGCACTTCCGCATTATTTTCATTGGCAATGAACCAAAACCCCTCCATTGGGTTATAAAAAACCTGAGTATTGCAAGGTCTAGCCCTCCTTGTTACCATCCATCCATCTGATATGGATGCTTGTATTGAATGCTGCTCTTCAATATCCAGGCTGTGTGCACCAATTATGAAATAATCACAGTTGACTGCATATCCATGTTCTGGGAACTCACATTCTGAATCAAAGTCACTTTCACGTTCACTGCGTTCAGAGTCCTCAGTGTCACTCAAGACACTGCTGCAACTTGACTCCCTTGAAAACACTTTATTCTCAAACACAGAGGGCTGAGTACTGCCAGCAACTGGAGAGACAGGTGACAGTGGCAAATGTGGCTTTGGTGAACGCTTTCTCTTTGGGTACCTCCTTTCTCTACATTGACCATCATCATCATTATCACTTGCATCACTAATAGCTTTGAATTTTTCCATATCTTGTGAACCTGTATCTCTGTTTATGGGACTTTTGCATCTTAATCTTCGTTTTTTTCTTGGTGTTTGTTCCTTTTGAAAGCATGAACGGGAAGTCCCACCTGCAGACGCACTTGCAAAATACAAATTGAATTTATTTAGCACAGGCTGCAGTCCAAGGGGGTGCATTATAAAATGAGGATGGGTCAAAATATTCAGCAGTTCTAGAGCATCCTCACGAAATGACTTATTGCCTGGCATTCCATTCGAAAACGTTGTGTTCATGGCAGCCTTCCAGTCGTAAATCTCAAAAATCAAACCTGTATCACGGTGCTTAAGTCTAAATCTCCAAATTCGATAGAAGGTAAGACCATCTTCTGCTGCAGCAAACGAACTAAACAAGCACAGCCAACGGTACAAAACAAGACAACTTGGAATGACTTGGTAAGGCCTGATGTGACGTGTTTTCTTGTTTCTTCGCAGCATTTTCAATTTCTGTGATGGAAAAAGATCACCAATATACCCTCGTCTTCTGTCAAGAAATACCCATCGCAGCTGAGTCGTATCAAAATAAAGCTCAGCGTTTTTGTCAAATCTGTAATTACTGTCATCATGCTCGTATGGGTAAGCCTGAAGCCATTTTTCTGAAACATACGACATTCTCTCAAACATTACATTTCGAAGTTCTTCTAACATTGGCTCGTCTGCTAGAGTTTTGCAAAATATAAAATATTTCATGTCATCGGGAGAAAACCAAGATTTTTGCTCCAATTCCTGGTAAGCCAAGTGCCATTCCATACTTCGAGCATTAATGTTTTGATACAAAAATCGCTGCGATGGCCATTTTCTCAGCACAAGTTTTTTCCACAGTTCTGGTGCACGTGAAACCCTGAGCCATTGCTTGCATACTAGCGAAAGGTTTGTCAAAGATTTCGCGTTAAAATAGACAAAAACTTTCTCCAAAATTTCGTCAAGAAACAAAGCTTCCTCCATCTTCGCTTCGCGTGTTTATTGTTGTTCAACTGCGACACGAGCACGCGCTTCCTGCATAATAAATCAAAAAATAATGCCCTTTGTTTTGAAGAAAAATAAAAGAAATCGTTCTCTTCATTGATTTCAAAGTTTCATCTGGTTACATGCAAAAGAAAAACAATTGTTTTTGGCTTCAACCGGAAATGCCTCGTTTTCATTTAATGCCTCGTTGTCAAGTGTTATGGCGTACGATGAAGAAAATTGCACCAAAAATTATTGTCTAATGTGCATAGAAATTCGACGTAAATTTTCTCCAGAACACCTTCTTTGATGTACAGCAGGAGGTACAACTGGTTTTAGGTCAAGAAAATCACGTTTCTACTTTCGGTAAGATTTGATTTGTTTGCTATCATGATGTCCAGTGAGTCAGTATTTATTTGAAAAAAAATAAAAACTAAGACCTCATTTAAAGTAAGGTACTTTTGCCTGCGATCTTTTATGTACTTTTTAAGATCATGCAGCGTTCCTGTGCATGTTTATCATAAATTACTGTGCTGATTTGTCTAATTAATATAAGATGTTTTCATTCTAGTTCACCTGTGATCTGCTCAACAATATGCTGGTGATTGCATACTTTGCCTTGACTGTCACTGCTTTATCTTCGTTTTTGTTGTATTTCTTCTTAAAGAGGTTCAGAGATGACCAACCAGTGATCAATAACCCTGCATTCCTTGAGTTCCAAAAGAAGTATTTTAATGTCTACTATCTGGCATTGCTGGCAGAATGGTTTCAAGCTCCATATTTATACAGACTCTACAGCTTCTATGGCTTCATCGACACACAGATTGCTGTTATTTATGTCTGTGGGTTTGCATCAAGTGTCATCTTTGGCACATATGCTGGATTCTTAGTAGATGCATGGGGCAGGAAAAAACTTTGCATTTTGTTCACTGTCCTTTACTCTATTTGCTGTATAACTAAATTGTCTCGAGACTACTCAGTCCTAATTATGGGTAGAATCATTGGTGGAATCTCAACATCACTTTTGTTTTCAGCATTTGATTCTTGGTATACTTATGAACACTTGCAAACGAACGAGTTCCCTCCTGAATGGATTCAGGTAACATTTTCAAAGGCAACATCTGTTAATAGCATCATTGCAATTGCTGCTGGTGTAATTGCCAACATGGCATCAGACTGGTTCTCGTTTGGTCCAGTGGCACCATTTGTATTGGCAATACCATTTCTTATTTTGGCTGGATTTTTGATAAAGTGCACTTGGAATGAAAATTATGGGAAGAAAGGAAAGATCCTGAAGCCCTGTTGTGAAAGTCTCCGTTTGATTTTATCTGACCGCAAGATCTTTATAACTGGTGCAGTTCAAGCCTTGTTTGAGAGCGTAATGTACATATTTGTTTTCTTGTGGACTCCTGTTTTGGATCCAGCAAATCCACCCCTAGGTATAGTGTTTTCTTGTTTCATGGCCTGCATCATGCTTGGAGGATCAACCTTTGAAATTCTCAGTTCGAGAGGGGTTAAAATAACAACCATTATACCCATTGTTATATATTTAACAATGTTTGCCAATATTGCTGCATCCTATGCCAGTGCAAATCATCCAAGGACAACCTTTTTAATCTTCCTCTTCATTGAGTTACTTTGTGGAATTTATTTCCCAGCTGTTGGAAAGCTGCGATATTTCACGTTACCTGAAGGACATCATAGTGGAATAATCAACTGGTTTCGAGTCCCTTTGAATGCTATTGCAGCTGTTGTGTTGCTGGCGTTACATGACACACATAGTCCACATGGGATTTCTTCATTATTTGCTTTGTGTGCCATTTTATTATGCCTGGCTGGTTTGCCTTCAGTTTTTCTACACAGACTTCTTAAGGACATTGTTTTAGAAAATGAGGAAGAAGCTATAGAGTAGCTGGTAGTACAAAAACAAACAGAATAAGGTTTTGATGAATATTGATTCTAAAACTGCCAAATTGCCAAATCAGGTGCCACAGAGTGGAAAAGTGGGTGTCTAAAATATGTGGGGAAGGATAAAACCGTATAAAGAGAGGCTTTTTACTGGTAGTTTATTACTTGATATTTGGCTGTTTGTAAAAAGTGGGGGCTAGAGCCCCCCAGCCCCCCCTGCTCTGCGGTGCCTGCAAATACCAGTTTGTTCATCTAATACTCTATATTATTATCATGTTTATGTCCGAATCTTAAAACTGCCCATGCTCTATCAATTTTTATCAAAGCTTTTTTTGAGACACTTCAATTACAAAATATCTAAATAGTTAAAAAAATGATGTGCATATGTTTCTGGTTGGGCTATTTCGATCCAAAACTTGGTGTATATATTTGCTAATCAAATTAAAATTTCTGTTTTATAATTTATTATATAGTGCTCAATGCTGTATGGGCAGAGTCATATTATGATTTTGTGCATAGAACAAGACAGACCTAGTTTCACACTTGATGCAATGGTTGAACAACCTTGATGACTGCATTGAATGTGAAACCAGGAATTGCAACTTAGAACCATCTTGTTCTTTACACCAAAGCACATTTCCTGCTTCACTTTTGTTTGTTACCATCTATTTTCACTTTAAAAGTGGAAGGTTTTAGGCTTTTATGTTAAAATATTTTGCTTGTTTATCCTTCTTTGTGATTTTTGCTTGATTATATTTATTCCTCAGAATTATATTTTTATTCTCTTCATCTTTATATAAATTATGTAGAATTATCTGATACACACACTTGACACTGGTTCACTTTAAAAACAGGTTGGACCTATGTCATTTTTGAAAAAATACCAGAGCCAAGCTGAAGTTGAATACCCCTACCCCATTTTAATGATGACTCTTTATTATTTCATTGCTTATTTTCATTTTTATTTCATTGTTACAATCTTTTTTCAATGTTGGAACCTTTTTTATTGATTAAAAATATATAGAAAATTGTATAAGAACTTTATAGAAACTAAGAGGCTTGATTTGCCAAAAAAATAAGAACAGCATAAGAATATCCCCAGTTGCAGATGCATTGTTAGAAAAAAAACCAATCAACTCTGCTACTAAAGATGCATGACCTTTAAAATAGTTTAAATTCTGTAGATGTAGAAGATCATTTGTTAAAGTAACAACAGCACCAAGCCTCAAATTCTTCAAAATTAAGAGCATTAAGCCTCAGAAAATATTATCTGCTTCTTATGAAAAGAGAGTACTATATTTCCAAGTGAATTACAACTCAGGTTTTGCCTATTGTTCCATTGACAGTCAAGGAAGACTTTAAATAGATAAAAGCAAACAGACTTTTGAAAATATAGCAAGACAAATAAGTCTTGATTTATAGAAATAACTCTGAGAGACTTTTTAAATGTATATATGATAAATGTTGTAGAGTATAACAGAGAAACAAATTAACACTGCTTTATGTATTATTACTATCAAAATAACTATCTTGAATTGAAATAACCCGTATAATTAAGTTCTTTTAAAATACTTGCATATATGATGAAAAAGAAATTGCTACAATTAGACTGCTCTAAAATACTTGTATATATGATAAAATATGTCTTGGCTTTAAATCATCTGAGGTGAAAAAAGGTATGTAAACCAAAAAGACATTGGTTTGGAGCAATAGTATAACAGCCCTGGTCAACTAGCCAAGTATTTTGAGCTCCATTGCCTCTGATTTCATATTTCAAAAATCTAGAAATCTTAAGTAGAATAAAGAACCAATTTTTTAAGTATCGATAGCTTCAATATAATCCCCAAATGAAAACATTCATGCATAACATCACGATAATACATGCATGCCCAAATAGACTGGATTTAACTATTTACATCTCACCAACAGTGAATGCGATCAAAATAAAGCATATACATAACATCTGATCATGTGCAAAATTTAAGTTTATACAAGTTCAGTTAAAGACTCAAGAGCTTGTGTGAACTCCATCATGTCAATGACATCTGTGAAGCCTAGCTGTGGCTCTAGCAAATTGTAATAAAACTCTGGACTCTAAAACAAAGGAAGTGATTAACAATATTACAATGCAATACTTTCATTCTATAATGAAAAAAGAGTATTAACCATGAAAATAACTCAATAGAAAGCAGTTAACCGTGCTTACAATATAAACAGCTTTTTAAGAATAACATCATGAAATATGCAACTAATTATGAATTGATGCAAAGAATCATGATATCTTTTCATTTATCCTACCAAAAGGGACCATACATTTCATCATCCCAGACATGTTTGTGGATATGATAGGGTTTTCAACTTTCAAAAACATTTAGTTAAGTTCCGTAAAATTTTTGCTTCATTCTACAGTGATTTAATTTTAATCAGACTAGAATATGTTGTTGAAAGTAAAACACACCTCTCGTCTTAAGTGGTGCAGCCTAAGCAAATGTGATCCAGAGAGTTTATTCAATTTTTCATCAGCAACACAACTGCAAAAAGGGAATAAAATGTCAATAAGAGGTTGAAACAATTAAACTAAATACAGTGGACTCTGCTTAAGGTTCTTCACTTTTAATCACACTACAATTTACAGCCACATAAGCTTAAGCCCTAAACATACAAAACTATCCAGTTTAGCTCTGTTTACAGTTACACTCCACTAACAGTCACAGATTTTCAAGCAACATTTGGTGTGATTATAACTGAAGTCTAATGATTTTTGTTAGTCTAGGATTAAGGTTTTTAACAGCTGTGGGAAGCAAAATATGCATGTACTGTACCAACCAATGGCAAACATAGAACAGGGAGGAGCTGAAAAATCAATTTGTCTCAAAATTTATTTCCATAGTCAAAGTATTGTAGGAAAATCCTCCCGATAGACAATGGATAGTAAATTTTGTCCCACAAAGGTAAAATTATGTGGTAGTGGTGAATGTACTTATGAATGTATTTCATTTTGCTATTTACAACTTTAAATTATAAATTGAAGAAATATTTTTTAATTTTTTAAATAAGTTTCATAGCTTTTAACATTAAGCAAAAGTAATAATTGCAGATTGTCTAATGAATCCACAATCTGTCCAGCATAAGAATCAAACTAAATGCTCATCTGCAACTTACTTTTTCAAGTTATGCTTTTGCAGCCATTCTTGAACTTCTGCATTCCCCCATCTTGAGACATCAATCAGCCTGCCATTATCATTATCATTTCCTGAATGCCAACAGAAGTGAGTAAATCAATTATTTTACACTAAATAAAATTAGTAACTGAATACTGGTTGTAAATCATTTTTTGGGTACCTTTTGATCTTTCTGCCTAATGAGATTGCCCCCCCCCCCCTTATGAAGATGATATGGAAGCTAATAAGAATTGGATTTTCAGTTCAGAATTTTTGAGAATACCTTTTAATGATGCTTTGAAATGACAATTAAGTTTAAGAACAAATGTGGCAAAAAGTGCCACCTTTTAATGCATCAAAACTGCATAAGACAAGTTCTGTGTTTATTTTCTTTTTTGAATTATTTTGTGATATAGCCAATGATACACTGGAGAATTTGTTAGCTTGAATACTCAATGATCAATGGAAAGTTCGACAGTTTCCCTAGACTGTTATTTGGATATTCATTTCTTTATCATTGTCCCAAAATTACCTCTAGTTTGGTGACTTGGAATGTAGAGGATGTTGACAGTTCTTTCTGCTTTTCCTCTCTCCCCAATTTGTCTCATTAGCAACTTCATATGACCCTCAAATTTTGATTCTTCTGTGAAATCAAGCCAGACCTTACTACCTACCAACATCCCAAGCCAACCATCTGGCTTGTGATTTCTCTCCAAAATTATTGGTATCATTGGTCTGCACATGTGAAATGCATAATCTGCCTCTGGAGGTAAAACAAGAGGAACTTTGAAAAGTCTCTTGAAAAAATATTTTTGCGGACATTAACTTAGTCAAATTATTGAGAGGGAGGCAAAATTTCAAAAAAATTGCAGTATATCAGTGAATGAAAACTGTATAGGTTGTGGGCACGACTATTTTTTAGAAACAAAGGCCACAGAGGCCAATGGATCAATCTGACTGTTAATTACACCAGATTTTAAGCTACCATCAATGAAAAGATGACATCAGTGATTTTGCTTTTACCCTTGCATACATAAGTCAAACCATGTCTCCAACCTTTCATCTGCCTGAAATAATCATGCTCTACAGATGTTTTAACTAACACCTCAATGCTTCTGTTATTTGAACTTAAAACCCTGCAAATGCTAATATATTAGGAGACAAAAACTTACCTGCAAATACAGATGGTGTCTGCTTGTACTTGCGAGAAATCCCAATAAGGACAACAGCAGAATTCTCGACAGCTTCAATCAAATGCTCTGGGTATGATTGATTATCATCTTTCTCCATCCACACTTTGTATCCCTTGTCTTTGAGTCTCAAGCTTATTTTTTTCATAGTTGCCCTCTGTTCTGGATGATAGCTCATGAAAACATGTTTGACCTCTGGTACTGGGGGAGGATCTGAAGAACAAAGTTGTATATTGCACAGGTAAAATTGCAAATTTTTTTATTTGTTTTTTTGCTACATAAGAAAATATATTTTATTAGAAATTGATAGATTTTTGCTTACTTTGGTCTGTGTACTTGTCTTCAAATCCCCAGATTAATGCTTCTGCCAATTCTCTCAAGGAACAATTCTCGGAATCCTGTGTCATGATAAAAATGAATTTAGTATCAAGAAGACAATTTTGTACAAACATTAATAATAAGTTCAATTTTTATATACTATACTGTTGGAAAACAAAGGAAAATGTCAAATTCGGGTATCGCTTATTTTAGTTATAAAAAGGGCAATTATTGTCTAAATGAGGGATAAATATGTTTGTTTATTTAAATTCAAAATAATAATTCTTAATAATTCACATTTTTTACTTAAAACTATTTGCATGGTCAGAAAATGCTAATCAACAAGATGCCATGGGAACCATGTCCGCCCTTCTGTATGAAAATTTTGAACAAATGTGTGAATAGTCTGGTGCTTGAAAAAACTTACCTGAAGATCCTGGACAATTTCAAATATTTCAGGTGATCTTCCAATAATTTTTTGCTTGCATTTTTCCACAAAGCAAAGACTCCAAAGCAAACAACATACTGCAATTCTTTCATTATTGTCTCTTGTTTTCTTCAATATCTTTGTTATGGCACTTATACCTCCTTGCGAACATATCTAAAACATACAGATAAGCATTCATTTACAAAAAAGATGAATCAATGCTCACACAATCCAAAAATATTAATATTTCAAATATCTTAAATCTCAACCCCTTTTAAATGCAATGGTATTTTTAGATGAGGGGACTCAATCCAGACTGGATAATATCTAAGAAAACAGAATTTGTACACCTACATTTACAACAAGGTAATAAGCAGTTGTGCCTTTCAAATATGCAGATACCTTCTGTCAGCTATTGGATACAGTTATACAGGGACTTACAACAAATTTATTACTGTCATGAGAAGCAATTCTTGTCAAGCCATCGATTAATTCTGACAGAGAAAAGTCTGCATAGTAGTGGTCAATTTTTGACAAGCTTTCTTCCACATAGTGAACCAACAAGCCAACTGTTGCTGAAAAATATTAAAAAAGCTTTTGTCAAATTTGGGTTCCTAGGCAGCATTTCATCAATCAAATGTGTTGAGATCTGTGTATGCTTACAATTAACAAATATCCACATCTTTAAGGCACATCAGACAACAGCAAATTGACAGTCATGCAGTGCTACCAGCATATCTGGGTATGTTTAACATCTACATTACATTACTGACACAGTATCAGAATACAATAGAATGCAAACAAAACTATTTTGCAATCTTGACTGTCTATTGTTTTGAATTTCTTACTAAAATGAAGTTCTGCTTACCTGTATCTGCTAAAATCAAATGATTATTCCTGTCATCAATTAGGAATGACAGAGTCAACAAACATCCTATATTAACTCGGTTTCCACCAATGTAATCAGTTTCTTTCCTCAAGTTGATGAGCATTTGCACAGCATTGCATTCATAGAAGCAAGCCATGTTTGTCACAGACTGAACAAAGTTATAAAGGATGTCATTTGCAGAATGTAGAAATTCTTCTCTTGCCGTGCTCTGCAAAAAGAGATTGCTTTCAAAACTTAGAAACATAATGGAGATTTTGTCACTAAAATTTATTTCCATTCTGATAAAAAGTAAGAGGATGTTGAGTTACAGTAAGGCTTCAAAACACCCCCACTTTCCAAGAAAATGATTCCATACCTTTCCCCAAGGAATGCCATGGAGTTTCGGAAGTAAATCTTGGAAGATAAAGTGGATGAATCCTTTGTGCCCTATCTTTCTACTTGGTTCATGTACCTCTGTAAACTCTGCGGCAAGTGACAAAATTACTTGAAATATGACTGCAACGGCATATTCCAAACTGACCAAACTCAGGTCTAGCGTTTCTGGTGTTGGGTCTTCAAATGGAATCTGGAAGACATAAAAATTACCCAATCATCAACTGTTCATCAGAAAATCAACTGTTCATCTTAAGAAATCAACTGATCATCTTAAGAAATCAACTGTTCTTATCCATGGTGAAATTATTCAGCATTTGATTACATTCATAATTTGTTTTTTATTAACTGCATTAGAACTTGATTTGAAAAGGGAAAAATTATTTCTCCATTGCTTTATACTTACCTTTTCATCTGATGCCTGAACAAAAACTTGTGGGTAACTTTTCATAATTTTTTTAGCACATTTCAGAAATATTTCTGGCCAATCAAGTTTCAGGAAATAGTCCAAAAGATAAGAAAGAGCAGCACTGTTTGTATTCTTTGCTGCTAAATACAACTTCACCAAATCTCTGAGCACATCATAATTTTGTGGCCAAAAGGAAGCACCCAAGGGCATGTTGTGAAGATATTTAGAGATCATCTCAAGGTCATGTTTGATCTTATCCATGTCTTCTTTGTCAATATTTCCAATGTCATCAACATGATCAATTTCATGGCTCCCAGTCACCAAGTTTAATAATGATGATCTGTGTTTACTGTCCTCGAGTGATGAAGTGTCTAAATCACTTTTTCTACTTGAATTAACATCTATTGTTAAAAATGAAGTATATAAGGACAGTTCACTTCTTCCATCATGAATTTCTTGGTCCCTGTGAACACCTGTTCCATTTATTCTTTCCTGTGGAATTTCATCTGGAGGGGGAGGTGGCCAATCACTTTCAATGTTACTTTCTTGGTCATACTTTTCAAGCTCTTCTAAACTCAAGAACTCACTCTTAACTTCTTTGATCTCTTCACAAAAAACCTCCTCATCAACTGGCCTTTTTTCTTGAGCCTTAACAACTTCAGGTTCATTGGTTGAATTATATGCTCTGTTCTGTCCTGGTTGTGGAAGTACCTGATACTGTACATCATCATCATAACTCTGTTCATCATAAACTTTATCCTTTTCTGTGTCAGGACTCAAACTTTGGTGGTTTGTTATTTCTTCAGCTGGCTGTATAAAATATTTAGTAGACTGATTGTAAACCAAAGATTGTTTCTTGTATTCTTCTGTATTATCTTGAGGTCTTCTCATTTGTTCATCAAACTGTTGATGCTCAAAAGGTGTTCTTTGGTCTTCATCTAAAACCAAGACAGGCCCATCAACACTGTTGTAAAAGTCATCATCAGTGTAATCAATTTGATATGTTGAGTCATGATTCTTAATTGCTGGCTGATCATGTGTTTTATCACCAGAATATTTGTTATTTCTCATTGGCTCTGTGTATTTGTTCACTGTATTATCAACATGTGCTGTTTCTTTAGGCAGCCTGTAGTTGCTAGTTTCATCAACATCATTTGATGGTTCCTCATATGGCTTAGGAAACTGGTCTTCATTTGAGTCAAATTTTTCATCATCAGGATAAATCTTACTGAAGGTACTCTGTCCTCTTGGACCCTGATTGCGAGAATTTGCTCTTGTTTCTGGATAAAACTGTGGTTTTCCATTATTTTTATATTTTGAACTAGGATCTGGTTCTTTGCTTATATTTTCTTTTGTAGACCCAAGTGCCTCTTCATCCCTGTTTGGCTTGTACCCTAAATTTGGTGGCCTGTATTCAACAAAATCTGTATCTCTGTCTTTAAAACCATAGTTGCCTTCTGTCCATTCGCTTTCGGGGTCGTTCTTTGGTCTTTTAGGGTCTGTTGAGTTAGCTTTCACATAATTTTCAAATACCTTTTGATTTGGTAGTTGATCCTTTGCTGCATTTTCTGAAATGTATTGCCTGTCCTGGTCTTCGCCGTATGGATCCTTTCTTCTTTCCAAAGGCTTTCTGTCTGATGTGTTTTTCTGGTCGATTTGCGTTGGCTCTTGTCTACTTCCATCTGGCCTTTCCTGTATTGGTTCATTGTAGTAGTCAATATCACCCCGATCAATGTATCTTCGACCGCTTCTGTCATTTTCAAATGGCTCGTATTTATGCGCAAACCTGTTTGTTACCGCAAAATAACGTCCTGTACCGTAGTACCTGAAACCTTCCATTTACACACCCTTGACGTTTGCAGGTCGTCGCAACGGCCTAACTTAGCTTCCAGTATGGGACAAGCAATGATTTAAAATATGCTAAATATCGCACATAATTATATCAGGGGAATATGCTCTTACAGAAGTTCTTTTGTTTTATTGAATCGTCAAAAGCAAATAAAACTTTTGTTCCGTTTTATCTCACCCTTCAATTGTAAACAACGTAATCCATCACCATTTTGAATTTTTGATCAGAAAAACAATGCTCAAGATGAGGTGCTGTTGGCTCTGTTGGCTTGGCTTCCATAGTCCAGAATGAGGCTGTTTGGCACTTGAAGTGAATATTTTTGGCCATCTATCTCTTTGACACAAAACTGAGATTTTTTCAAATTTTATTACAACAGAATATTTTCTTAAAATAGTTTTTCTTATCGAAACTTGCTTCTTCCTTATCTATTCTTTCTTATCAAAAGTAAGAATTTGCTTTTTCCTATAAAGTCCTTTCGACGTCGCGCTTTAAACTGGGGATCATTAGGTGGCGTTGCGTTGGCACGTCCCATCTACCGAAAGCCACAGCAGTGGTTGTTCCCTTCGTTGCAAAAAAAATCAAACATGATTTTGCAACGATCATTAGTGACGTTGGATGCTCTATCGTTTTTTATATATGACTTCGAATAACTTTCAAGATAACCATGAAGATTTAGCGACATTGGTCCAAGTGAATCTTTTACTACCATTTTACATGGGGATACTGTTAGATTGTAAGGTGACTACTTTTGGTTGCCAAAGAAGCCAGAAGAAAACATGTTCTTGTCACGATTCTTACTAATGTCAATACTTAATTCATAACTAGCATGTATATGCATAATTTATGTCGATCTTCTTTGCGGAAAAATTAAACGGGTGCTCAGTTTAAGTTCTGAATTATATATTGATATTTAAAATTCGCTGGCTGAACTTTAGTTAAACTTTGTGATAATCAACTCGGAGTTGCCTGCAGAACTTGAGCCATGATTTTCGTTTTGCTTTGTTTTGCTTTCCTCGATGGATCGGTGGCTACGAACAGTTCAATAAATGTTACAGGTTTGAAACTTCTTACAAAGTCTTCATTAAAAAGGATTCATCTGTAGTACGCAAGATATTTTTCTCCGTATTGTATACATCAGAGAAATCTTTGAAGTAACGACGTTTCTAATGCCTAACTTGCAACCTCCCGAAATGTATTTAGAACAGGGAATGGAGCTACAGGAGGGTCCTTATTTGATATTTTATTCGAAGCAAAAGCAATGTTGCACAAGGAAACAGCAAACGTGCTGTTAGGATAGCATAAAAGTAGAGAATGGTTGATATAGATTGTTCAAAGGGATTTGTCATGCAAGAAATATAGCTACATAGACGAGTTGATGTTTAGAAAGACCTAAACTTTTATTTCACACTAGGAAAAGTCTGATTTACTTTGATCTAAATGATAATTTGTTTTGATGCATTTTGAAATGTAGTTCTACATTAATGTGAATTAAGTTCTACATTGATAAAAATTTCCACATGGAAGTCTCTCTACCGCTATCACACTCTCATTTGTATTGAATCTTAGCTCCTCCTACGGTTCCAACCACTGCTCCACCAACCCTGAGTCCGCTGCAGCTGCAAAAGTTATGGTGTCGCCAGAATTACTCAGATTGGAGAGCGCCGGTCGTTTCTGGTTGCAACGACCCGTTCACAACACCCTGCGCCAATGTATGTAGCTCGAAATGAAATAGCTTGATATGTTGTGCTAAAGAAGTAGATTTGACTGGTATCCTTTTATGGGCCTTTACTTTAACACACTGTTTTGTGTATCTTTAATACCCCCAAAAAGCGAGTGATTTTGAGCCGTACAAATAAGCCGTACAAATTAGCGACTCCTAAAAATGCAAGCTTGTTACGTTCGTTAAAAACTTATACCTTTCCTCATGATACATTATTGTATAAAGAAAACCAATTGTTTACTAACTCTTTTTAATAAATGTATAATCGCTGTTGTTAAATGAAATATCTCTCAAGATATCTAGTCCTTTGTTTAAGTCGATATAGTTTTTTGGAAACTGAAATCTTGGGAGAACCACTTTGTCAAAGTATACACAATCATAGTAAATGCATTTCTATCTGTATCAAATCCTTAGTATCTAAACGAAACCGACCCTTTTCTCTAATGTTTTTCTGTTAATTATGCACTTTTATAATTTCAAATCATGATCTGTGTCGCGCTGACGAAGAGAAAAATTTCAGTTATGCTCAATTGTTCATGTGAGGACCTCTCCGAAGACCCCCCTTTTAACCATTATTACAAGAACTGACTTACCCCCGGGAAGAGGACTTTTTAGTTAGTTTAGTTTAGAGGGACTGTTCGAATCAAGTTAAGGAGTTGTAAAGAGTATTTGGTTTTTTATAAAGGTTTGCGTTGGAAAACTATGTCGTGTATTGTGTGTTTATTGCTTGAAGCTAATTGATTTGCACTCGAACCGGGCCACATTTCTGGTGACCACGACGTGACAAGTAACTGTAAGTGCAAATCTTTTCAATTTTTTCTTTCAAAATTGATGTTCTCAAGAAGAAGCCACCCAGAAGAACACAGAAGTTGAAATGATGCAATTATTTGGCAATATCGTATCAAGATTTGTTGTTTTTCTCTTATGATTATTTTCGTGCTTTGTTGACGAGGCTTGAGTCTGATTTTCTTGTGTCTTTCTCGATCTCTCAGTTGCGTTTGTTTACGTTAGGCCCGTTAAAGTTGTGCCATTGCGGATAGTCGAGACTGTTTTCGTGTATTTTAGTAGTATCAAAATGGCACTAACTGGGGAAGAAATCGATGATTTATTATTGGAATGTCATGGTCTACTGACAGGGATGCGCAAGGAGGCACTTCATGAATTTTGCGATAAATTAGGGACAATCTCAGAGTCGACCTATTTGGACAAAAGCCGTTTCGCAACCGTAAAATTGATTTTCGAGGAAATTGAAAAACTATCGGAGAAATGCAAAGAAACAGAAAAGGCAGCATTTCTCAAGGATATTCTGAAACAAATTACTGAGGTAAGGAGCGCAATTGCGAGCGGGGGAGATAAGCAACAGACACTGGCTTCCGTTAGACATGATTTAGAGAAGGAAGTAACACTGTTAAAGGAAAAACAACAAAAAGAGATGGAAGCGTTGACTGATAAATTGAGTGCTGTCAAAATGAGGGCAGGGGGCGACGTTCATATAGATAATGATTTGAATGGACAGGCGACATCTGAAACAAATTACAGGGGCTTGCAAGCAATTCTAAAAAGGGAATTCAGAATTGTCGGGACAGTGGGGGCCCAGGGGCAAAAAGAACAGTTGTCCTATTTGAGCCTCAGTAGACAAGTGGAAAGTGGCAAAGAGCGCGGTTATTCCGAAAAGGAATTGGTTGACGGGCTCATAAAATGCATTCTGCCGGGAATACCCCTCAAAGATTATTTAGAGGCGATGCGAGAAATGGGGTTGGAAACTCTAATGAAAATTATTCGCGCCCACTATCAAGAGAAAAATGCTAGTGAACTATATGCTAGCCTCGCAAATTTGGCCCAGTCACCAACAGAAGATCCTCAAAATTTTCTACTACGTGCCCTAAATTTGCGGGAAAAGATAATTTTTGCAACAAAGCAGGAGGGGAGCAAATTAAAATATGATACAAGTCAGTGTCAGTCCATGTTTCTGCATGCAATCGAGACTGGACTTCTTAGCAATACTCTCAGAACGAGGATGAGACCACACCTACAACGCCCAGATGTTACAGATGCTGAATTGATTCAACAATTAAACCTCGCTGGTGCAGAAGAATCAGAAAGAAATGCCAAATTAGGAATAGGCCAGAAGGGAAAAGCAAAAGTTGCACAAGTCTCTTTGGAACAAAACACAAAGGGAAAAGCTGAGAGCCCCCAAAAAGGACAAAGAAGCGGAAACACCACTAGCTCAAAAATTGCTGTCCGAAATCCAAGCGATAAAAGCAGAAGTGGCCTCTCTAAAACAAGATGTTAGCCGCAGTCGTGCTCAGTCCCCTGGGGAGGATAATAGAATATTATCTCAAGGGAGAGGAAGACCCCCTCGTGAAAACCGTCGGGGATGCAAGGAATGTTTCAAGAAAGGCCTTGGAGATAAGTGTACTCATTGCTGGAAATGCGGGAATAGTGCTCATTTTGCCTACAACTGCCCTCAAAGAAATGGACCGTGGCAGGAAAACTGCCCCCGGCTGCTGTCACGGGACAGCCAGTAGCCAAGGCAAATGATGTAGAGTCCCACCATTGTATAAGCTGCAAACAACTACACAAAAATATTTTTATTTGTGCTGCATGTGAAACATCAAAATATTGTAGTAAGGCATGTCAAATAAAAGACTGGGCTAATCATAAACAGATTTGTCTAGCGATTCAGGAACTCTCCGATAAGTTTGAAAGGGTTGAGCATGGAAGAGGTGACAGTGAGGATCATAGAGTCTTTGTTAGCCATCTCTCACCTCAAGGACAAGAAAAACTGTCGAAACTAGTGGGTAGAAAATGTTTGATCAAGTGCAATATGAATGGTATCGAGTTACCCGTACTTTTTGATACGGGTGCACAAGTATCAATCGTGAGTTCAAAAGAGCTTAGAAAACATTTTCCACAGTCAGAGATAAAAGATATCACAGATCTCCTTGATCAGGACATTGAGTTAGAACTAACAACAGCCAATGGTTCAAAATTGCCATACAGTGGGTGGGTTAAGATGAATTTCAAGCTTCTGAATTCAAATGTAGATGCAGTAGAAGTACCAATGCTAGTAACTGAATTCGAACTTGAGCAGCCTATTATTGGGTACAATGTAATCGAAGAACTTATCAAAAGTCAACAACAAGTCCCAGATGAGACTAACCTTATCTCGCTGCTATCAGCAAGTTTCTTTCAGACGTCACAATCAGATTTAAATGCTTTTGTGAGTTTTGTTGACAGCAAGTCAACACCAATATTTTCCACTGTTAGAACAGGCAAGAAAAGCATTATTGTTCCAAAAGGCAGTACAGTAAAGATTTCATGTCGCAGCAAAGTTGGATTAATTAGCCGACCAACACCTATGCTGTTTGAGCCCGATAACGAGTTAAGCTTCCCCTCTGGTTTGGAAGTACACGAGTCTTTGCTCACTTTGAAAAGGGAAAATTGCGACAAGGTGGGAATTTATGTCATTAACACTAGTGCACATGACATCACTTTGAAAGGACGTACAGAAATGGGTTTTCTGCAACCTGTTAGGTCAGTTACACCAGTTGAGTTGAAGTTCAAAGATCACAATGAAATGGATAAAGAAGGAAATAAAAAAGAACTCAAGTCTACAAAGAATGAGCAATACAGGACCAGTCAAAGACAATTAGAGGCTGACGAGAAGCTAGCAACGGACGTGATACCAAAAGTTACTTTAGGAAATCATTTGAGTGAAGAGCAAAAACGGAGTGTACAGCAGATGCTTTATGAAGAACGTGATGCCTTTTGCACAAGTAGCCAAGATGTAGGTTGCGCAGAGGGCCTCAAACATAAGATCATACTAAATGATACAACACCGGTGCAGAAACATTACATTGCTGTCCCAAGACCCTTGTACCCTGAACTCAAGAGATACATCGAGGATCTCCTGAATCGCAAGTTCATCCAGAAATCAAAATCGCCATATAGTAGCTGTTGTGTGATTGTCCGAAAAAAAGATGGCTCAATGAGGCTCTGTATTGACTACAGAGAACTAAATGATAAAACAACAGCAGACCGTCATCCAATACCCAGAATTCAGGACACGTTGGACAGTTTATCCGGAAACAAATGGTTCTCCACTATAGATCAAGGGAAAGCATATCATCAAGGCTTTATGGACCCAGAAAGTCGCCATTTAACGGCTTTTGTGACACCCTGGGGTCTCTATGAATGGATAAGACTTCCCATGGGCCTCAAAAACGCTCCAGCAGAATTTCAACGTTATATGGAGAGCTGTTTAGGGGAATTTAGAGACGAATGTTGTGCACCATATCTTGATGACGTCATTGTATACTCAAAGTCATTCAACGAGCACGTGGAGCATGTAAGAAAGGTTCTACGACGATTGAAAGAAAATGGTATCAAGCTGAAAGCTGAAAAATGTGACATGTTTAAGAAAGAAGTTGTATATTTAGGTCGAATCGTGTCTGAAGATGGTTATCGCATAGATCCAGACAGCACAAAAGCAATTCTCAAGTTACGTGACTACACACCAAAGACTATTGGTGAAGTTCGTCATTTGACAGGTCTACTGGGTTACTACCGACGATATATAGAAAACTTTTCCAGAGTAGCAAAACCCATTTATGACTTACTCAAGGTGGAACAGCCATGCACTTCCAAAGTAAAGAAAAAAGACACACGTGGGAAAGGAGGCCAAGCATCATCGCGTGCGCCAATTGTCTGGCTACAGCCGCATCAAAAAGCTCTCAGTTATCTTATAAGCTGTCTTACCAACCCTCCTATCATGGCCTATCCAGATTTCAGCATCCCATTTGTACTTCATACAGACGCATCACAAGAGGGACTTGGTGCAGTCTTGTACCAAAAACAGCAGGGGAAAATGAGAGTGATAGGGTATGCCTCTCGGACGCTATCTCCAGCTGAAAGAAAGTACCATTTACATTCCGGGAAACTGGAGTTCCTAGCATTAAAGTGGGCTGTAACTGAACAGTTCCGCGACTACTTGTTTTACGCTCCAAAATTCACAATATATACTGATAACAACCCTTTAACATATGTTATGAGTACAGCAAAGTTAAATTCTACAGGGTATAGATGGATAGCTTCATTGGCAGATTTTGAATTCACCATCAAGTACCGACCGGGTAAAGCGAATGTTGATGCAGACTTCTTTTCAAGAATGCCAACAAACATTGAGAAGTTCATGGAAGAATGCACACAAGAAACATCACAGATGGATTTTGCAGCAACTCTCAGTGCAGTTACCACCAGGCATCAAGGTAATGTGTATTGGATCCATGCAGTTTCACTTAACCAAAATACTACCCAACTATTAGATGCAAACAAAATGGAAAAACACACTCCCCTGCCTCTGCAGAACATCTTACAAGCGCAGAAGGAGGACCCTGATGTTGCCCGTGTCTTAGCTTATAAAGAACAGCCAGTTAGGCCTTCGTTTCAAGATCGACATGGTGAATCAGCTGAGGTAAAAACACTAATGCATGAATGGAACAAGCTGATACTGGGAAAAGACAGAGCCTTGTACCG